TTATCTAATTCGTCAGGATTTTTGAATTCTATTGGTGTCTTTTTTTTAAATATTATTTCATCTTTATCTTCTTCATTATCCAGGATATCACCAAATTCAGACTGAACACAATTATTAATTTCATTTTCGATTTTAATTTTAGATTTAATACTTCTTGTTATAATTTTATTTTGATTACTATTATTTTTATTTTTATTTTTATTATTATCATCATTATTATTATTATTATTATTATTATTATTATTATTATTATTATTATTATTATTATCATTAATATTTTGATTATTACTATTATGACTATCTTCAATATTACCATATATTAAAAATGGTGTAAATAATAATGATATAGGGTGTCTTGTAAACTCTTCTCTTTCTACATTCTTTTGCAATGATCTTAAAAAAGAAAATAACTTTAAATTATCTTCAGACATTACCGAAATAATTTTAAATGTGTATCTAACATCAGAGTGTAAACTACCAAATATAATTCTATCGTTATGCTCTAACCTTACTTTATCTTTAATTCTAACACCATTGACCCATGTACCATTTGTTGAGTTTAAATCTTCAATATAATATTGATTATTGTAATCACTATCGCCATCGTTATCGTTATCGTTATCGTTATCGCCATTGTTAATACCATTATCATTGTGTTTGTTATTATTACTATTGTTGTTTTTATTGCCTATAGATGTTATAACCGAGTGATTTCTTGAAAGATTGTTTATCCTCCCTACTGTAGAGTTTAAAACACTTTTTAAAAAAAACCATTAGTTTATATTTTTATTATAAAGATCTTTAAATCTATTCAAGTATATTTTTTAAATAATTACATATTATTTTTTTTATCCCTGCCAAATGTTAATATCTCTTTTTTGACATCAATAAATGCATGGAGAGTTTTTGGTAATGCTGGTAAAAATGAATAAACAAGAAACGCCATTTATTAAATCATTCTTTTATATATCTTTTATTATTATTATTATTATTATAATTATTAATTTATTTATAACTATTTATTATAAAAATTGAATGATGAACAATAATATTTAAAAGGAAACTAAAAAACAATATTATTTATTTATTTATTTAAATTTCTTTTTCAAATTTATAATTTGAAATGTAAAAAAATAATAAAATAAAAAAATTAAAAAATTAAAAAAAAAAATTAAAAAAAAAAAAAAAAAAATATGGTAATATTACATTTTAATAAAAAAAAAGAAAACTATGATATTATTATTTTATTAAACAAATGATTATTTTTCTTTATATATTATATTATAAAATTTATTCATTGAATCATGTAATGATCTGTTGTTTTCGGATCTATCAAAATTATATAAATGATAGTAATCGATATCGTCAGAGTTGAAAGGTACAGTTGTGTCTTTTGATAAACGAAGATGTGACACTATCATTCCCGGCATTATAGGTACCCCGACAGGTGGTGATTTCTTTAATGATTTTCTTAATTCTTCAACTTCTTGCTTATTATAAATTCTTCTATCTTCCCATAAATTTAAAACCTAAATAATAAAAATGATGAGATAAATTATTAATTTTATATTTGTATTTTAAATTTTATATTTTAAACATTCACTTACATTTTGAACTTGATCTCTCATAGATGGATTAATAATATAATAAATATTTGATAATATAGTTGGTAAACTTTGATAAAATGGTTGTATAAAAAACTCTGGTCTATTTTCTGATCTATTAAATTGACTATTATTATTAAAAAAAATTGTATAGATTAATAACCAAAGCGTTAAAATTTGGGTGAACTGATATTTAACTATGTATTTCTTACCTAAAATGTAAAATATCATTTATTAAAAATAATAAAAATAATCTTTGTTCGGGATATAAATTTGTAATTTTTTTAATAATAAAATCTATAACCATATTAGAACTATAACAATTATTCATTATCCACTCTCTTATATTTTTAATACAACCATTGGATGAATCGATATTATTAAACATATCATTTAATTCCCCCAAAATAAAATCTTCATTTTGTTGTTGATTATAGAATTGTTGTTGTTGTTGCTGCTGCTGTTGCTGTTGCTGTTGCTGTTGCTGCTGTTGATTGTAAATCTGTTGCTGGTTAATATTAAAGCCATTATCATTATAATTGCTGTTATAGTTTGGTGTAAAACTATTATTTTCATTATTATTACCATTGTTATAAAACTGTTGTTGCTGTTGGTATTTCTGTGGACTATTAAATTGGTTTATACCATTGTTGTTATTGCTATTGCTATTGTTATTGTTATTATTATTGTTATTGCTATTATAATATTGTCTATTCATTATTTATTCTAAATGATTCATTAAAAACTGAAAATAATTTAAAAAAAAATGAATATAAAAAAATTTTAAAAAAATTAAAAAAAAAAAAAAAAATTAAATTCCCAAAGAAAAAAAATTATAATTGGTTTTATTTTAATAAATATATATATAAGTTTTATTCGTTTCTTTATTTATTTCTTTTCTTTTTTTTTTGATATTTTAATTATATTTTACAACCAAAAACGCTGGTAATGCAATACATTGTTTTATTTTCAAATTTATATGAACAACTATTATCGTTTGATGAATCCCAAAGACATGAACTTGCTGTATGAAAACCTGCTCCAGTTTTTTGAAAAATTACACAATTAACTAAAATAAATAAGATTATCACTGTTAATATTCTGATATATCTATAACATTTGTGTCAAAGTTATAATTGTTACACTATTATTATTTACCTATATATTTATATGATTTATTTAATTCTGAAATCTTTTTTAATGAATTATCAATAATTCCTTGTGTCCATTGTGGAACTTGTTTATGTTGATAAACTGTACCTTGTTGAAGTTGATCTTCGACTACCTAAATTTTTTTTTTTTTTTTTTTAATATAGATTTTTTAATTAATATAAAATTTTAATTTAATTTTTTTAATATTTTTAAATCCTAATTTAATTACTTCTTTTAATATTGATAAAATTTCCTCTACTACAAATGGTTGATCCTAAAATAGTGAAAAAATAGATATGGTAAGTAAAGTGTGTGGGTGTGGGGTGCAGGTGAATATATTAACGATAAAATTATAATAATCATACAGTTTCTGTTGACATTTTAAAATAGTTGATATTTTATTAAGATAACGCTTTGTTTATATATATATGTAATGTGTGTTGAATTTAAATTGTCTTTTTTTCAAAGTGAATATCTGGAAATAAGATAAATGATAATTTTTTTTGTATAAAAAGGTTATGTACAGTTCAAATCAATAAAATTAAATTTTAAAAAAAAATAAAAGAAAAAATTTGAAAAAATAATTTTTTTTTTTTTTTTTTTTTAAAATTTTTTTATTTTTAAAAATTTTAATTTTTTTTAATTTTTTTTCTATTTCAAAAAAAATATTTAAATTATTTATTTCACATCTTTAATAATAAATTGCACGCAATCACACACATATATACACTTTAAATTAATTATATAATTAAATTTACATTTTTAATTTTAAATACCTGTGTACGAATTTATATTGAAAAGAGAATAAGTGTGGGTGAGTGGTGATATACATATATACATTTATATATATTTATAATAATAATAATAATAATAATAGAAATAAACCAATAAATAATAGATATTTATATATATTAATATAAACATATTGTTTATTATAATAAAACAAATAACCATATTAATACTAATAAAATACAAATAAATAATAAAAATTATGAATCCAAACAATCCAAATTTATTAAAGAGTCCTAGTAGAAAATCCACTCCACCAAATCAACCAATGCAATATAATACAAATAAAGATGATATCGATCACGAACAACCTCCTCATCCCGGTATGATGAATTATGTAAATTATTCCAACCCAAATATGAATTATAATTTTAATATGCAGCAAAGTAAGTATAAAAATAACTATAGGAAACCTCTCAGAAAATTTAGATTAAAAGTTATAAAATCCACAAACAGGAAAAGATAAAGGATAAATTTAGAAATGGATTAATAAAAAAAAAAAAAAAAAAAAAGATATATTTGGATTGGATGGTTTTTTAATAGATAATAGCAGTATAATTTAATAATTTTTTAAAAATATTATTTTTTATTAGGAGGACATGTCAACGATATGATGTCAAGGCAAGGACCACCACATATGATGCAACAACCACAAAATATACAAGGATTTAGACCTCCACCAAATATGATGGGACCACCACACGTAAGAGCGGGTAATGTTGGAATGGGACCTATGCCAGTAAATATAAATAATATGGGTATGAATAGTAATGTTAATATTAGCAATAATAATAATAGTGTTAACAACAGCAACAACTTGAGATCATCATTAACCACGACACCAACAGTCGTATCACCACAACAACAGCAACAACAACAATCACAACCATCGCTATCTAGATCAAACCCTAATACACCAACCAATACTACCACCACTAGTAGTGTCACAACTTCACCAAACATCCAACAACAACAACACCAACAAAGAATTAATGACAATATTGTAAATAGAGGTATCCAAAGTATGTTACCTCAACAATTTAATACCCAAAAAGCACAACAACAACAACAGCAACAACAGCAATCACCACAACAATCTCCTCAACAAAACTATAATAACAACACCAACAATAATAACTATGGTGATGGCGATTTCCCAGCTTTAAGAAAGAGCAAAAATGGTAAATAACACCAACTAAACAATTCTTTTCAATCAAAGTTATAATTTTTTTTTTTTTTTTTTATTCCCAACACACTTTTTTTTTTTTTTTTTTTAACACAAACACAGATATTTTATCAAATAATTTATATTAATCAAAATTATTTTTTTTTATAGCAAATAAAAATGTAGAAGATACAAGTTTAATTCAAAATTTAGGATTTGATAATTCACATGAAGAATATCAAAGAAAAGATTATAATATTGTAGATAAAGATAATGGCAAATATGGCTTAATGGGTTTATTAAATGTAATTAAAAATACAGACATGGACGCAAGTATGCTTTCTATTGGTATTGACTTGACTGGGTTAGGTCTAAACTTAAACTCGCCAGGGTAAACATTTTTAAATTAATCTATAAAATCCATACCACAATTATTTTATTAATAATATTTTTATTTTTTTTTTATAAAAAGGGAATTATATGAATCATTTGGGTCACCATGGGTTGAATTCTCAGCTCAAAGAAAATCTGAATATTATATCCCGTTATGCTACTCAACACCAAATTTAGAATCACCAACTTATAAGATGACTTTATTCACCTACGAAACATTATTTTATATTTTTTATTCAATGCCAAAAGATATTCTTCAACTTCATGCAGCCAACGAATTATACGACCGTAATTGGAGATATCACAAAGAAGGTAAAGTTTGGTTAACCAAAGTTCAAGGTACCGAATCGACAATAAACCCTACCTTTGAAGTAGGTTCTTTCTTTTTCTTTGACGTTGTACAATGGGCTACAGTACGTAGAGACAATTTTTATCTTCCACACGAAGTTTTAGAAACTAAAGAATCTTTAATCGCTCAAGTAAATAAAGCCGAACAACAATTACTATCATTACAACAACAACAAGCTGCCGCTGCCGCTGCTGCCGCTCAACAAAATGGTCAACCCTCACCATCACAATCATCACCACAACATACTTCACCACAATAATCTGTTTAATATAAATAATATAATATAATATATAATTTGTAATCATCTATTAACCACCCTTCATAAAACACAACCTCGATCAAAACCATCATCATTATTTAAAAAGTACAAATAATAAAAATCACCAAATATATTATAATATAAATTAAATTCATTATTTATTAATAGTAATAAATTTACCATATTTATTTAAATACTAATTTTTATAAAAAGTAGTCTTATTAAAAAAAAATCAAACTTGAATATTTATTTGTGCATTGTGCTGGCTTTTAAAGTAAAAATTTGAGATAATGTTAATATTTTTATTATTTTAAATTTTTTAATTTTGTTTTTTTGAATTTTTTTGAATTTTTTTTTTTTAAAAAATAATTTTTTTAATTTAAATTATTTTTTAAAAAATCATTTAATTTATTTTATTATAAAAACTATAATTTATTTTATAAAAAAAAAAAAACTATTTATTAATACATATAACCATTTAAAAATGACTAAATTTACAGCTGCTAATATGTATGTTAACATAATATAAATATTTAAAATTACAGATTACTAATAATTTTTATCTTTATTTTATACAGGAGTATGTTGCTCAAATTAGCAAATAGTAGATTAGTTTTACATAAAAATAAAAATTTTGAACAAAGTAATATTCATAAAAAAGAGATTGCAGAACTATTAACATTGGGAAAAGAAGAACAGGCTAGAGTAAGAACAGTGGCAGTAATTAACGAAGACTATCATACCGAAGTTTTGGGTATTTTGATTTTATATTGCGAATCATTAGCAAACAGAGTTAGAGGTTTAGAAGGAGTAAAGTTTGTATCATTCAATCTATTAATTAATAATTAATTTATTGAAAAATTTATTAACACCAATTTATTTATTATTTAAAGGATATGCCCACCCGATTTAAAAGAGGCAGTTTGTGGTATTATATTTGCCTCGCCATATTTAGAAAAACAAGTAGAGCTTTATAAAATTAGAAAGAGATTAATCGAAAAGTTTGGAAAGAAACTACCCGAAGAGTGTATTGATTCTTGTTGTATTAACCCAAAGATTGTACATAGACTTTCTAATAAACCACCAGAGGAATCATTAGTAAACTATTATCTCAGTAATATTGCAAAGAAACATAATGTTGAATGGGATACACCTGCATTACCACCATTAGTCGATTTACAACAAAGTATTCCAGACTTTACATTAACTTCATTAGCTGAACAATTCCCAAGTACACCATCTAATACAAACCCAGCACCATCCTCTGATGATTTATTAATGAATTTCCCATCAGTTCCAAAAGAAAATACCGCAACCATTGACCAATTCCCATCACCACCATCCATTCCAAAATCAACTGCTACCACCCAACCAAAATTGGAGTTCCCAAGTTTACCCCAAACAATGTTGGTTGGACCCGCCAGTGCTGTAAACTGTAAAGCATTTGGTGACGGTTTGAAGAAAGGCTATGTTGGTTACGAATCAAAGTTTACAATTCAAGCATATGACTCAAAGAATACTAAAATCAATAAGGGTGGTGAAACATTTAATATTTTAATTCAAGGCCAATTTGGTGACCAACTATATGGCAATGTTAAAGATAATGATGATGGTTCATATACTGCAAGTTATATACCACCAAGAGCTGGAGGATATGCCATTGCTGTATATTTAGAAAATACATTAATTGCTGATGGCCAACCATTCATTTCAAATATCGAACCTGCAACAATGATGGAACAAGAGAGTAAAATAGATCCAACTAAATGCGAAGCTTTTGGTCAAGGTTTAGAAACCGGTGTACCAGGCAAACTTTCAACCTTTACAATTCGTGCTAAAGATTCAAATGGTCGTATAGTCAAAACACCTCAACAATTTTATGTTTTTGTTCAAGGACCACCAGGAATTCAAATCTATGGTGATGTTAAAAACAATAATGATGGTACATATAGTGTCACATATACACCAACTGTAAGTGGTGGTTATGGTGTAATGGTTTATCATGAAACAACACCAATACGTGAACCATGGACATTTTTTATTTTAGAAAGTCAAGAAGCTCTTAGTAAATCAAACACTGAAGAGGATGAAATGGATAAACTTTGGAAACAAACAGCCACTCTTTCATTTACTAAAGCTGCTGTAATTGAAAATTATCCAGAAGCTCCAATCGATATACCTACACCAACCCCATCAACTGCCAAAGTTACTATTGAGGAAAGTCCACAAACTAAATCCGCAAGAATCGAATTCCTTTCATCTATTAAAGAAAAAACATTGGTTGTAGATAATGGCTCTGGTATGGTTAAAGCTGGTTTTGCTGGTGAAGACGCACCACGTTCAATATTTCCATCGATTGTTGGTTATCCATTATTCAACAGTGTTATGCATGGAATGGGTAAAGATAAATATATTGGTGAAGAAGCTCAAGCAAAAAGAGGTGTTCTCTCAATTAAATATCCAGTCGAACATGGTGTTATTACAAACTGGAACGATATGGAATCACTTTGGGAATATACTTTTACAACTGAACTTCGTGTTGATCCCTCCAAACACCCAGTTCTTCTCACCGAACCACCATTAAATCCAAAGGCCAATAGAGAAAGAATGGTCGAAACAATGTTCGAAGTATTCCAAGTCCCAGCACTCTACATTGCCACCCAAGCTGTCCTCTCACTATATGCTTCAGGTAGAACCACTGGTACTGTATTAGATTGCGGTGACGGTGTATGTCATACTGTTCCAATTTTCGAGGGTTATACTATTCCCCACAATATTAAAAGATTAGACATTGGTGGTAGAGATATTACCGAATACCTAATGGTATTGTTAACCGAAAGAGGCTATGCTTTCACCACAACCGCCGAACGTGAAATTGTTCGTGATATTAAAGAAAAAACTGCATTCATATGCCAAGACTATTATGATGCTATGGCCGCACCAGAAGATGATTCGTTAATAACAGATTATATTATGCCCGATAAACAAGTACTATCAATAGGTAAAGAAAGATTCCGTTGTTATGAGGCATTATTTGACCCATCACTTTTGGGCAAGGATCAAAATGGTATTCAACATTTACTTAATGACACAATCATGGGTTGTGATATCGATATCCGTCGTGAACTCTATAAAAACATTGTTATTTCAGGTGGCACAACTTTAGCACCAGGTTTCGAATCTCGTTTACAAAAAGAAATGAATTTCTTAAATCCATCTGTAGACATTAAAATTTCAGCTCCTCCAAATCGTAATCTCAGTGTTTGGTGCGGTGGTTCCGTTTTGGGCGATCTTAAAACTTTTTCTGACCATTGGATCACAAAAGACGAATATTTGGAACACGGCAAAACCATTGTTCATAAGAAATGTTTTTAAAATTAAAAACATAAATCTAAATTCAATCAATAAATTATTTTAATTTATTTTGGAAATGTACAAAAATAAAATAGAAAATAAAAAAAAACAAAAAATAAAAAAAAACAAAAAAAAGGAAAACTGCCAATCCCAAAAACATATTCTGATTTTTGGTCTTTTTTTATTTTTTTTTTATTCTTTGAAAAACAAATAACACTTAACTTTTTTTTTTTTTTTTTTTTTTTTTTTTTTTGGTTATCTCGGTGGATAAACAAATAATTATGTAGGGTGATGACTCACCCAGAAAAAAAAAATTTTATTTTTTTTTCTTATTTTTAAAATTTTTTAATTTAAAATTTTAATAATTTATTCCAAACATTTAAATATAATAATAATAATAATAAAAAAATTCAATAGTTTGTTTATCTAAAATTATAAAATTTCATTATACCTTTTTTTTTTTTTTTTTTTTTTTTTTTAAAATATTTTTAACAACATCAATTTTTTTTTTTATTTATTTTTTTAATTATTTTTTAAAAATTTTTTTTTTTTAAATTATTTTTTTTTTTATTTTTAAATTTTTCATTTTTTTATTTCATTATACACATCACAAAACTCAATTACATAATATTTATATTTATATAAATATAATACGAATTTAATTTATACTTTTATAATATCAATTAGTTTTTTTTTTTAATAAAAAAGAAATATAAAAAAAAAAAAAAAAAAAATTAATATTTAAAGTCTTTTTTTTATTTTTTGTTCAACTATTTATTTATTTATTTGTTTGTTTATTTATATATAATAGTAATAAAACATCAATATAGTTATAGTAAAAAATAATAAAACATGGTGAAATATCATTTTCAAGGTTTAAGCGATAAAGAAGTTGAAGATAATAGAAATAAGCATGGATCAAATACATTACCACCAGTAAAGGTTGAATCCTTTTTTGAAAAATTAATGGAGAATTTCCAAGATCCATTAATTCATATTCTTTGTGTGGCTTTGGTAATTACAGTTATATTGTCATTTGTAGGTTATGCCGAATGGTTTGAAGGTGTTGGTATTGCTTCTGCAGTATTTTTAGCTACATTTGTATCAACCTACAGTGAATACAAAAATGAAAATTCATTCCAAGAGCTTCAAGAAAAAGCATCAAGAGTCAAGTGTAATGTTTTTAGAAATGGATCACACATCTCAGAAATCTTTGGTTACGATGTTGTCGTTGGTGATTTGGTACTTCTTCAACAAGGTGATAAGATTCCAGCCGATGGCCGTTTAGTTGCAGGTGAACTTCATGTCAACCAAAGCACTTTAAATGGTGAACCAAATTTAGAAAAAAAAGTTGTAGCACCAAAGGATTATCAACCACAAACTAAAAATGATTTCCTTGATCATTATCTTTGCTTCAGAGGCACCGTTGTCGAAGACGGTGAAGGTGTTTTATTAGTAGACGCTGTTGGTTCATCTACCCTCTATGGTGAGCTCGCTATTGAACTCTCAAAGGCTGATGAAAGAGAATCCCCACTCCAAATTAAACTTTCAAATTTAGCTGATGGTATCAGTACTATTGGTTATATCGGTGCCGGTTTCATTGTTGTTTCCTTCCTTTTCAAACAATTCATTATGGATAATCATTACAATTGGGCTGAAATTTCAACCTATTGCACAAATTTCCCAGTAGTTCTTAAAGATATTGTTAATTCAATTACTCTTGCCATTATTATTATCGTTGTTGCTGTACCAGAAGTATGCATTATATTATTTAACACTTTATATTAATTTTACGATTATTAATTTATAATTTTCCTTTTTTTAGGGTTTACCAATGATGATTGCCATTGTATTATCATTAAATATGAGAAAGCTCTTAAAAGCTAAAGTTTTGGTTCGTAAATTATTAGGTATTGAAACTGCAGGTAGTTTAGATATTCTTTTTGTTGATAAAACAGGTACTCTTACAAAAGGTAAATTTATTCCAAGAACTTTTATCTCTGGTTCAGCTCATACATATAAAGGTTTTTCACAAATTCCAAAAGAATTAAGGTAAATTATAAACATCACATTATAATAATTATTGAAACTTTAATAATTAACTTTTTTCTTTTTTTTTTTTACAGAGACGTTTTATCATTTTCAGTTAGAGAATCAACTTCTTCAGTTATTGGTGAAGATGGCCAAATTGTTGGTGGTAATGCATCAGATAAAGCTTTATTACAATTTTTAGATAAAGAATCTTTATTAGCAGATTACAATGTTTCAGTTGAAAAAGAAATTTTATTCCATTCAGAAAGAAAATATTCAGCAGCTTTATTAAAAGTACCACTTAGTGGTGGACCAACCGGTAGAGCTCCAAATGGTATTGTTTCATGTTCACACAAAATTAACGAAAAATACATTGAAATCACTTGTATTAAAGGTGCACCAGAAATTGTTTTAAATCGTTGCAGTTCACATTTCAACGAAGATGGTAATGTTGAAGCTATTCCAGATAGTGTTGGTTTAACCGATTCAATCAATAGACTTTCTGAACAAGGTATCCGTGTTATTGCTGTTGCTGTCTCAAGAGAACCATTAGTCGAAACTGAAACTCTTCCACACTCTCTCATTTTAGTTGGTATCGTTGGTGTTTATGATGAAATTAGAGATGAATCTCGTCATTCAATCCAATTAGCTCGTGAAGCTGGTATTCAAGTTGTAATGATTACTGGTGACAAGAGAGAAACTGCTATTGCTGTCGCTCATCAAATTGGTCTTATTTCCCCAGGTGAAGAAAATCAACCAGGTGTTGTTTTAACCTCATTTGAACTTCAAAATATTAACAATAGTAAATTATCCAATATGCTTCCACACTTGCGTGTTGTCTCCCGTGCCCTTCCATCTGATAAAGTCCGTTTCGTCAATGTTGCCCAATCTCTTCATAAAGTTGTTGGTATGACTGGTGATGGTGTCAATGATTCCGCCGCTCTTAAACATGCCGACGTTGGTTTCGCTATGGGTAGTGGTTCTGAAGTTTCAAAAGAAGCAGCCGATATTGTTATTTTAGATGACAACTTTGCTTCCATCACTCAAGCTGTACTCTATGGTAGAACTATTTATAAATCTATTCAAAAGTTCATTGTTTTCCAATCTACCATTAATGTTGCATCAACTCTTATTGTTTTCTTAGGTCCATTCATGGGTTTTGATTTCCCATTAACTTTAATTCAATTATTATGGGTCAATTTAGTTATGGATACCCTTGCCGCTTTAGCATTTGGTGGTGAGCCAGCTCTTCATCGTTACATGAAAGAAAGACCAATCAAGAGAGATCAATCCATTATCACACCAAGAATGTGGGGTTCAATTTTAGGTGCTGGTCCATTCATTTCAGCTATGTCAATTTTATTCCTTATTAATGACCACATCGAACAATACTTTACTCGTGATGGCGCTCCATATCAACCAGCTTTCCTCACTGCTTTCTTTGCCTTCTTTATTTTCCTTTCTGTCATCAATGCCTTCAATGTACGTACTAGCCGTTTAAATCTTTTCGATCATCTCTTTGATAACAAGGGCTTTATTTTTGTTGTATTTTTCATTTTCGTAGTTCAAATCGTATTCACTTATATCGGTGGTAAAGTCCTTAGAACTGTTGCTTTAACATCAAGCGAATGGTTATTGGTTGTAGCTATGTCATTCAGCATTATACCTTTTGATTTAATCAGAAAGGCTTTATTAAATTTATTTCTATTCAAGAAGATTAAGAGCAATAAATCTGAATAAATTTGACAAGTTAGATAAAATTGTTTAAATAAAAGAATATTAAAATTTTTTTTTAAAATATAAAATATAAAATTAAAGTTTTAAAGATGATTTTTATAATTGTTGTAATAGTTTTTTTTTTAATTTAAATTTAAATAGTTTTATTTTATTTTTGTTATTTTGTTTTTGGTTTTTGATTTTCTTTATTTTTTGAATCTAGAATATCATTTGGATTAAAAACTAAATAGCTTTTGGCAAATTCTGATGACCAAGCCAAGAATGCAAATACACCTATAAAAATAATTGAAGATAAAATAAAATTTGAATTACTGAAAAGGTTTTTATCTGCTATATCTGTATTTTTAATATCAATATTATTAATTTTTGTTGGTTTTTCTGTAGGTTTGAAAGAAATTGTTTTTGATTTTGTTGGTTGTATTTTATTTGGTTCTTGTTGTTGTTTTTGTTGTTGTTGGTCCATTGAGGGGGTTATATCAGCTCTCATTACTGAACCAAAGAAATCAGTAACTGGGACCTTGTCTAATGGTCTATTAAATAAATCAGTTCTATATTCGCTATGTGATTGAAGTTTTTGTGGGCTATATGTATTAAACAATTGTTGTAATGTTACATTATGTGGATCTACATTTTCAAAAAATTCTAAAGTATAATAGGTAAATCTATCAATAACTGCTACACCAAGTTCTGGATCTGAGTGATGCTAAAAATTAAAATAAATAGTTAGAAAAATATAAATTTAATAATAGGATGGCATGCTTAATATTTACTGAATAACTATTTTCACCATATTTGCTAGAACCAATTGCAAGAATATTTGGTGAGTTAAATCTGGTATATAGTGTATTGGCTTGACAAGTATCGACCATAAATAAAATTTCGTGGTATCTTTTTTTCTCCCACATTTGTTTGAAAGCATCTGCTAAATCATGACTTGAAATTTCTTCATTATCTTGGAACTATATAAAAGAAAATAAAGTAAAAGTTAGTTTAATTATACATAAAATAAATAATAATATTAAAAGACGCCTACCTTTAAAAATTCATCACCGCCATGACCAGTTAAGAAAATTAAAATATTACTTTTATCATCTGTTAAAAGTCTTTTAGATCTGGCTACTTCTGGGTCATGTCTTCCAGTCAAAACTCTAATAAAATTTTCTACATTGACTTCGTAACCTCTGTAATCAACTTCAATATTATCTCCATAAAGATTTAATTTATGATTTTCATTGTTAAAAATACTTCCAGCGTAGGAGTTTCTTGGATTGCATGCCATATCATCTGCTAACATTAAAATAACTATTATAATTATTATTAAAAAAATACATAGGAATAAAAAAGATCATTATTATTATTATTATTATTATTATTATTATTGTTTTCATTATTATAGTTTAAAAGGTTATGTTAGTAGTTGAATGGTTTAATTAATATTATCTCCACAATTTTTTTGTTATTGGGCAATTTTATCTAATTATTCATACTTTGTGAATCTGGTATACCAAGTTTTTTTACAGTTCTATAAAAACCTAAAACATTAGCTATATGTCTATAGTTGAACCAAAATCTCGATGTACAAACTAATAGTGCCCAGTTGTTTGTATGTTCTCCTCTAAAGAAATGTTCCACATTATAATTTCCTTTACTATTATTAATATTATGTATGGTAGTTTTGGGAGGAAGTTCCTGGGCCTTGACTCCGGAGATTGCACTTTCGATACTAGAAATATATAGTATCAAAAACATATATATAAATACAATAAAAAATATATTCTGATTAGATTTTATCATATTTGTTTTCATATTTTAATTACAAAAAATAATAAAAAAAACTAAAATAAAATTTAATTTAATAAAAAAAAATAAAAAAAAAATAAAAAAAAAATTTTAAAAAAAAATTTTAAAAAAAAGTTAAAAGATAAATAAGGTGAAGAAAGGTGGTGGTATATGGTAAATGTAAAAAAAAAAATTTAATTATTAAAAGAATACTTTATTCGATGAAATTCAAACTTTATAATTGATATTAAATCGGGTTTAATTTGACAAGATGAAATAGTTATTAGATTAATTAAAATACAAGCTGGCTATCTGCATACTAAATTTTATTATCTTAATATGATAATAAATTCATATTATTATCAAGCCATATTTAATAAAAAATTTTCAAAAAAATAAGTAAATAAATAAATAAGAATGGTTTTTAATTAATTAAATTCAATTTTATAAATTTCAATAATTCAAATATAATATTATAACTATTTATAATATTATAAATAGTTATCCTTACTAGTTTTTCAGTAAATAGTTCAAGATGGAATATCAATTTGCAGAAAACTTTAAAATTAAAATGGTTGAAGAAATAAAAAGATCGACAAGAAAGGAAAGAGAGGAATGGATCAAAGATGCCAATTATAATCTTTTTAAATTGGCATCAGATCAAGTTTATATTGACCTTTTAACTGACAGTGGCACAGGTAGTATGAGTGCAAATCAATACGCTGAAATGATGACTGGTGACGAATCATATGCAGGTATGTTATATTATTATTTATATTATTAATTATATTTTTATTATTATTACTATTATTAATTTAATAATAACTAACATATAAATTTAAATTTGTTTATTTTATAAAATTAGGTTCAAAATCATATTTTAAATTAAAAGAAACCATTAAAGAATTATTTAACTTTGATTTTATGCTTCCTACACACCAAGGAAGAGCCGCAGAAAATGTATTATTTTCGGTACTTGTCAAGGAAGGTGATATTGTTCCAGGTAATAGTCATTTTGATACTACCAAAGGCCATATCGAAATTAGAAAGGCAAGAGCCATCGATTGCACTGTTATGGAGGCATTCGATACTCAGATTGAGTTGCCTTTTAAAGGCAATATATGCTTAGAGAAATTAGAAGAGGTTCTTAAAGAGCATCAAGATAGAGTTCCTTTTGTTTTAATTACCATTACGAATAATCTTGTTGGTGGTCAACCAGTTTCATTAGAAAACATTATGCGTGTTAGAGAATTGGCCACCAAATACAACAAACCTGTTTTAATGGACTCTGCTCGTTTTGCAGAGAATGCATATTTCATTAAAATTAGAGAAAAGAAATATAATGTCCATTCAATTAAAGAAATTGTTAGGGAAATGTTTTCATTTGTTGATGGTATGTTGATGAGTGGTAAAAAAGATGGAATCTGCAATATTGGTGGTTTTATGGCAATGCATTCGGAAGAATGGTACGAAAAAGCAAGTGTTTTCAACATCATTTACGAAGGTTTTATTACTTATGGTGGATTAAGCGGTCGTGATATGGGTGCTTTAGCAATAGGTCTAAGAGAGGCTACAGAATTTTCATATTTAGAAACTAGAATTAAACAAGTGGAATATTTGGCAAAGAAATTAGATAGATACAACATTCAATATCAACGACCATCAGGCGGCCATGCAATATTCATTGATGCAAAGAAAATACTAACATCTGTAAAAAAGGAAGAGTTCATTGCCCAAACATTGGCCATCGAACTGTACCTAGAGTGCGGAATAAGGGGTGTTGAAATCGGTACACTATTGGCAGATAGAGACCCAATTACACGTGAAAATAGATATCCAAAATTAGAGCTACTAAGATTGGCGATACCACGTCGTACCTATACAAACAACCATATGAAAGTAGTTGCAAAAGCCCTAAGAAATGTTTATAAAAGAAGACATCAAATAACAAAAGGTTATATAATCAAATATGAACCTTCATTACTTCGTCATTTCTCTGTTGATTTAGCACCAATCGGTGCCATCACTAAAGAGATCCCTGCTATTAAAAATGAAATAGAAGTACATCGAGAAGATTAAAAAATAAAAATAAAAGCAGAAATAAGAATTTTATTATGGGTGTTTATTATACAAAATATTTATAATTTAAAAGTTTATTAATCTAGTTCTGAAAAATCTTTCTTTTCAGGTCTTTTTGTAATTTGTGGTTTAAAAGTGTTATTATTATTGTTGTTGTTATTGTTTTTATTAACCTTAGTTTTATTATTTTCTAAAGTATTTTGATATGGCGAAGTGAAATCACTAAGAATTGATTGAATACCATCGATTTTATATGGAACATGTAAAACTTTGACAGATCTTCTATTATTGATCATATCCAAATAACTTAATGAAATCATATAGTTTGTTTGAGGATTTTCGGAATCAGTATCTTCACAAAGAGCATTTGACATATATTCTAATGATGCTGATTCGGCTTGTGCCATTTCTACGGTAGCTTCTGCATTACCTTCTGATTTCTTTCTAGTTGACTCTTGTTCTGCTATACCTAAATTAATATATTCCATTCTTTTACCATCTGCAAGTAAACTCATTGCTGCTTTTTCACCCTAATGATAATGATAACATTAGTTTTAATCTTATTATTTATAATTTATAAACTATATAAAACTTACTTCACTTTTGATAAAATCACCTCTTCTTTTTCTTTCAGCAACCATTTGTTTTTTCATTGCTTCACTAATTGCAGATTTTGGTGATAAATCTAATAACTCCATTCTTGAGATGTGAAGTCCCCAATTACTAAATAATTTTGAAAACTCTTGTACTAAATGGTCATTAATTTGAGTTTGTGATTCTAATGCTTCAGAGAAAGTCATATTACCAAAAACTTCTTTTAATTGAGTTTGTGCTGTATTTGAAAGTGCACCTTGTAAATCATCAACTTCATAAATTGCTTTCTTTATATCAAAAATTCTAAAATACATTAGTGCATGTACATCTAATAAAACTGTATCTTTTGTATAAACTTCTTGTTTTAAAAAATTGAATACTGATTCTCTTAAATCGATTCTGGTTGATGTTTTGCTAAAAAAAAAGAAAATAAGTTAGATTATAAAACCTTATACAATATTATTATAGTTTATTTATCTATATTATGATTATTATTTATTTATTTTTATAAAAGTTGTTATATATAAATAATATACTACTTACACAACATCAGTGATGGTACCATCATGGGTAATTAATGTTTTACGCCATGTAAAGTTTCTTGGTGAATCAATAATTGGAATAACAAAATTAATACCAGAATCCAATACTTTGTGGAACCTACCAAGTCTTTCTATAACTATACCTTCTGATTGTTGAACAATAAATATAGAATGGTAAAGAACAAATAATAAAATAATAAGCAAAACACCAATAACAATACCTGCTATTGCTCCTGCTGGTATGGCCATATTTTATAATTTTAGAAATAAAAAATTTAAATGTACTATGAAATAAATAAAGAAACTTTTTTTGTTATATAAAAACTAAAAATAAAACTAAACAAAAATTAAAAAATTAAAAAATTTAAAAAAAAAATTAGAAAAAAACAAAAAAATAAAAAAAATAAAAAAAAAAAGATTTTTGAATTTTTGGGAAATATATATTTGATTTAAAAAAAGGGGTTAGTTAGTATATTTCAAAAAAGAAAAAAAAAAAGGAAAAATATAGTTTTATGATTTTTTTTTTCTGTATTTATTTATTTATTTATTACAATTTCTATTTTTTTATTTTTTTATTTAATATTATTATATGATTATATTTATATATATTATTATATAAACGTTTTTATAATTTTGGTGGGGTAAAATTTTTTAATTCTTTACGAAGAAGTTTACCTGTTGCTGATTTTGGAACAGCTTGTAAGAAAAATAGACCACCTCTAAAGTGTTTATAGTTTGCAATTTTTGGATGAGCCCAATCTAGTATTTCTTTTTCAGTTGCGGCTTGACCTGGTTTTAAAACAACAAAGCCACGTGGGACCTCACCTACTTCACCTCTTGGTAAACCTACTACACATGCATCTTGAATTTTTGGATGAGTTAAAAGTAAAGCTTCAAGTTCAGCAGGAGCTACTTGGAAACCTTTTACTTTAATAAGCTCTTTTTGACGATCTACAACATAGAAAAATCCATCGTCGTCAACATATCCAATATCACCAGTACGTAAGAAACCTTCATTGTCGATTACCTCTGCAGTGGCTTTTGGGTTGTCAAAATATCCCAACATTACATTTGGACCTTTGATACAAATCTCGCCTTTGGCACCTGCATTTAAGGTTTCACCAGTCATAGTGTCAATAATTTTAGCTATTTGATTTGGTAGTAATACACCGACTGAACCGCTTTTATTATCACCGTATGGTGCAACACAACATGCTGGTGAAATTTCTGATAAACCGTAACCTTGTTTAATGATAACTTTGTCTTTGAAACGTTGCTTAATTTCGGCTTCAATATTTTCGCTTAATGGAGCTGCACCGCTGAACAAAACACGAAGTGCTGATAAATCAAATTTATCGACTAATGGTGATTTGGCAAATAATAATGCGACAGGTGGAACAATGAATGAAATGCTTACAGAGTATTTTTCAATAAGTTGCAAGAAACGTATTGGTTCGAATTTTGGAAGAGTGACGACACGATAACCTTGTTTTAACATTAACATAAGGAATAACATTAAACCATAGATATGGAAAAATGGAAGAATACCCATAACAGTATCATTCTTTCTGTAGTTTGATGTTTCGATTACTTGGGTTTGATAGGTATTTGAGAGGATATTGTAATGACTTAAACAAACGCCTTTGAATAAGCCAGTGGTGCCTGATGAAAATGGAATAACGGCCATATCTTTTTTACTATCGATTGGTATATTTGGGTATTTGCCGTCATTGTTTATTAAGCTATCATAGGACATTACTAAATTTGGGTTTTCTTTTTCTGCTTTGTGAATAGCTTCGACATTATTATATGGTACACCACAAAGAATTACCTTTTCGACTAATGGGAAAACTCTTTTAATATCATCTTTAATTTTATCATAAACTGTTGGGAATGTAACAATGAATTTTGGTTTAACTGTACCCAAAGTATGTTCGTATTCGTGGATTGTATATTCTGGGTTAACTAACGATGCAACACCACCAATTAATAAAGTACCATGGAACAATGTGCTATACTCTGGTAAATTTGGGAGAATAAAACCTACAATATCTTTTTTTCTAAGACCTAGTTTATGAAATCCTGATGCAACCTAATTTTACAAAAGAATAAAATAAAAAAGCAATAGTTAGTATACAAATTGATTTTTTGTTGTTAGCGGTTAATGATGGTAATTACCTTTTCAATTGTATCTGCTATATAATGTGAGCCATATTCTCTTGTGCTGATACCATCGACAAAAACGCAATGGTTTTCACGACTTCTGAGATGATTTAAAATTACCTTTGGTGCTGATTCTTCTGGGATTATAATATCTGGAAACTTTGATTTATAATATATTTTATTATTTGATTTAATAATCATTTTATCAGTTTATATAATTTAGTTGTGTGAAAAAAAAAAAAAAACTATTGAAAAATTAAAATAAAAAAAATTTTGGGGATATTGCTGTAAAAAAAAAAAAAAAAAAAAGATATTTTTACAATTGTGTGTTTTTTTTTTTTGAATTTTAAAAAAGAAATATAGAAATAGAGAAATATAAAAATAAATGAAAAAAAAAAAAAAATTATATAATTTTATAAAAATAAAAATAAATAAAAATAAAATAATAATTAAAAAATTAATAAAAAATAATTATATTAAATTTTTTTTTTTTTTTTTTTTTTAAATTTTAAAAAAGTTAAATTTCTCTATGCGCCTTTACATCATATATTCCTATTTAAACTGAAAAAAAAAAAATGGTGTTATTCATGAAACCATTGCAAAAAAAATAAAAATATAAAAAAAAATGAAAAAAATAAAAAAAAAATAAATTATTTTTATTTCTAAAATAATATAATGCTATATTACCACATTAAAAAAGAATTTTTAAAACTGGTAAAAGTTGTTGTTATTATTATAGTTGGTGTTATATATATAGAAGTGGTTATTTTTCATATAATGTGTTTAAAAAAAAAAAGTATTAAAATATCATTTTTCGATATAAATTAATTTATTTTTATATTTTTTTGTAAAGAGATCTGTATTTAAATACATTTAAAGAAATAAATAAAAATTTTGAAAAAACACACATAAACAGTGTGGTTAAAGATTATTTTTGTAAAATTAATTAATCTATTTTGAAAATAACTTTTTATTAATTATATTATTGCTCGAACTTTTGGGGTGGTTTATTTGTTGTTTTTTTTTTACTTGTTGTTTTTTTTTTATTTTATTTTTTTATTTTAATTTTTTACATATTTTTAAATTTGTGTTCTATTGTTAATAGAGAGTTTGGTGAAATAATTTTAGTGTTTGTTAAAAAGTCAATAATTATTTTACCTTCTTCTAGTGAAAAGAATGGTTGATTTAATTTTTCTAAAAGATAATTTAACAAATCTTCTTCGACACTAAGGGCTTGATAAAACTGACGAACACGGTCAAAAAAGATTTCTCTTTTAACAATGATATTTGAAAGATTTTGTTGAAGAGTGAAAACATTTTTACAAAGTTTAGCAATACCATTGCCATTGATCGAACGGATATGAGATAGTCTAGCGATTAATAGTTTACCAATGAGTTTAGCTATACCACTAAAGAGGAAATTACACTTGTCGCTGGGTAAACTTCCAGACATTGACTCTTCATTTTTCATAAGGTCACGATTTAATTCAACGATGAATGAATCTGGGTCAGTTCTTTCTTCTTCACAAACGTATTGAGTACGTTTAAAACCTTCTAAAAAGTAGAAACAATGAATACGGTATTCGATACGAAGGGCGATTAAACAACGACGCGATAATTCTTTGAAACGATCAATAATATCTTTAATTGAATCTTCCATTGTTTTTAATGCATCAATAGCTTCGCTAGTTAATTGATGATAACTATTAAACCCAAATGAACTACCAGTAGCAAATGCATTGGAGGATGAGGATGATGAGGAACCACTACCTTTAGATTTTGGTGTTTTTAATAAATTATTTGAATTATTTGAATTTTTTTGTTTATCGCTATATGAACCATAAATATCAGTTTGGTTTTGTTGTTGCTGTTGCTGTTGTTGTTGCTGTTGTAAAATTTGTTGTTTTTCTTGTTGAGCATCTTGAACAATTAATAATTGTGAAAGTTTTTCAGCTAACCAATTTAAACTATAAGAGATATTTGCAAATAATTGTAATTTTTCATAGCTTAAAATTAATTGATTACTTCTAACTGGTTTCTCTGGATTTTGGAATAGTTCAGATTCGATTTTAAACTCGTATTCCTCTTCTCTAGAATCTTGAAATTTAGCAACTTCAGTTTTCTTTGATGATACTGCTAATGATGTTATTAAATATTTAAATAAATCGGTCTTCATTAATTGTCCAGTTAAAGTAGGTTCGATTTCTTGCTCAAATTTATTTAAACATTTTTCATAATAGGTTAATAGTGAGGTTTGTATAATTGCACCAAACTCCATTACATAATGACTCATTGCGGCAATATCTGAAAACAATTCGATTATAAATTGGAAAATTTGTGCTGTACCCTAAATAGTGATTAAAAAGATGTGTTAATATAATCATTATTTAAAATACTGTGAAAAAGTTTTGATTTTTTCTTTTTTAAACTAAAAGAAAAAAAGTTCTATAATTATTATCGTATTACCTTTAAAATTGGTTTAGTTTCTTTAAGTTTAAATTCAAATTTGTGTTTTACTATTGTTTTGAATGCCTCGGTACCTTCAATTGATGCTGTAATTCTTTCTCTATAATCGTTTTTAATATGTTGTAAGAAATTTCTATGTACGAAATCATCAATATAAAGTCTTAATAAACCTTTTTTACTTCCTGCAAATGGATTGTTAGATGTATTGGTTATTGTAATTTGTTTTTTATTTCTAATAATTTAAAAAAAAAAATATTAGTATTTAATTTCAAAAAAAATTAAAATTTATAAAAATTACCTTTCTTTTAAAATTTTATCTAAATGATCAGTAAATTTGACAATCATTGGATAAACTGGTGTAACATTGTATTGTGATGCTTTAAATATAGTTATACCAACAGCAGCGCTTTGACCATTTTCACTAATTGGAGATATCATTGGACTGGTTGAGCCATTCCAATTATCAGTAACAATTGAGTTTGTAAAACTGAATAATCTTTGAGTTGTTTTGGCATTGTTATCGTTGTTAATATTGGTGTTGGTATTTATACTTAATAATAAGCTTGATGTATCTTGTAAATGAATTCTAAGCATTTCTCTAACTTCTTTTTGAATAATTTCCCAAACCAATGAGGCATCATAAATTTCGAGCAGATTAATTGATTCTGATTGTTTTGAATGTTTTGATGGTGTTGATTGATTTTGTTTTGGTGTCATTTCTTCGCCATCACTTAAAAGTTCATTGTCGTTGTGTTCTTTATTTTTCTTGTTTTCATCTTCATCATCGCTTTCATTAAATTTATTTGATATAATTTTTAATTCGGATTTTCTAATTGCTTCATTAAAAATTTTGCTAAGTTGTAAATGATTCTTGAATACCATATTTACTTTAGTAAAGATCATCTTTAATAAATCTACTAAAGGAATATTGAAGTATTGACTTGCTAAAACATCATTACGATTGAGTGTATCTGTTAAGAATCCGAATATTGCTAAATATGACTCATCACTATTACTATTTGAATATGAAATACTATTTGAACTGCCGTTCATTGGACTGCTCATTCCACCATTATTTTTATTATTTGGACTTGTTGAAATAATAGAGTGTGATGGAGAGGATGATGTTGATTCACCTGGCATTTTGGGGATGACTCTTCCTTCGCTGTGATAAACATTTGTGACATTCGATGAGCTTGTTGAAATAATTGACTTTAATTCAATCGAAATTCTACCTAAAATCAAACCAACAGCAGGTTGAAGATAATCTAAAACATTCAATGCCTCTACTAATAATGTCATGAATAATTTGCCATCTGTTTCTGGGTTAATATTTAAATCTTCTTTTGAATTTGATGATTTTGATATTTCTTCAAGTTTTAATACCTGTGGTTGGTTTAAATGGTTTAATCTTTCAAGATTATATTGAAGTGCTGCTTCTTTCTCTGCTTTCTCTGCATTTTTTGGATTTAAATGGTTGGTTGGTTTAGTTGGTGTAGTTATTGATGGTTTATTACTTAAACTTGTATCATTATTTTGCTTATTTCTAAAAAAAAATTATTAGTATTAATAATCTATTATTATATTTAATTTAATTTTATATGATACCAACGATAATAATAATTTTTTAAAGTTTGATTGCAAAGTATCTTCATCATTTTCGAATGCTTTTAATGATTGAGGTGTTTTTAAATAAATATGATCATTTAGCTTTTCTACCAACATATCTTTGAATGATTCCTTTCTTTCGGTTAACATTTGTCTGAGATCTGTTAAAGCATTGACATTAATTAAATCTCTTTCGTTTAATGCATCTAATGAATTGACTAAAATATTTGCAGCATGAACATAATGATTTCCATGGATATAACTATCTAATAATTCTGGTACTTTTTTTAATTCCTCCATTTTTTCTAAAATTTCGACCATATAATAGTATTCTAAATTTCTTCTCCACAATTTATCGATACCTGTGTTATTAAAGTGAATAAGTTTATTGATTTCTTCAACTTCTTTACTCATATGAATCGCATTTGAATGTGATGATCCCATAAATTCTAAAATTCTTGAATAGTTATGAATTGATTTATTAAAACCTTGAAAGTATACTAATTATTATAGTATATTTATTTTGGATTAAATAGTTTTTTTATTAATATTTTGCTTTTACCAATATTATTATTATAATACATTACCATCAACTATATTATCTGTTTCAACATTAACTTCATCTAACCAATTTTCGATTTGATTTAAAAGTTCTCTTCTATTAGAGGATCTCATATAATCCAAAGCAGTTCTTCTAGCCTCAAATGTTGTCTTGTGGTATTGTTCCGGTATACCGGTAAGTACCTTTGTTATTTTGGATTCATCTAATTTTTTTGTTTCTTCTTCCATTTTTTAATAATATAAATAAAAAACAATAAAAATAGAAAAAATATAAAAACTAAATAAATAATTGTATTTAATAAAAAAAAAAATAAAAAAATTTTTTAAAAAAATAATTTAAAAAAAATCAATTTATTTTTTTTTATTTTATTTTATTTTTTATTTTTTTTTTTTTATAAAAAACAAATCAAATTTGGTAATGGATAACCCAAAAACAAACGAATAAATAATCATATTAAAAAATAAAGAATTAATTAAAAAATTACTAAAAAAAAAACTCCCTAAAAGATTTATTTATTTAAAATATTGAATAAATGTTGAATATTATCTTTGTTTGGGTCAAACTGTTCAAAAAAATCTAATAAATTGTTATATTTTTCGATTTGATTCTGATTCAATGGAATTGGTTTAAATTTTGAACACTCTATTGTTTTAAACTGTTTTTGATGTTCCATTATTTCGTAAGCTCTTTCTATAATATCAGAAGAGATACCAGCATTTTTCGCACATATCATTCCAAAACTTGAATTTGAAACACCCTCTTTTAATTTGTAAAATGGAATAAATTCATTTGACTTGTAAAAAATCTTTTCTAAATTGTCTATTTGAAAATGTTGATTGTTTTGATTATTATTTGGTAGTAAATAGTCCATTGTATTAAACAAAACCTTTTCTAAAAGTTCTTTTGAATTTGCCAATAGTTCGAAAAATTCATAAAAATGAGTGCAGATAAATGTTTTTGTTGTGGTTTCTTTTGATAACAGAAATACAATAAAACCATATAATAGTGAAATACCATCCAGCGGATTTGTTCCTTTTCCATATTCATCTATTATAAATAATGATTTGTTGGTTGAAAATCTTGTCATTAGTGATATTTGTTTACAGTCGATCATAAATGATGATTCTGAAACTGAGTTGCTTTCTCTTGATGTAATCCTTGTGTATATTTTATCAAAAATTGAAATAGTAGCTTTTGATGCTGGTACAAAACTTCCTATTTGAGCTAAAAATACTATTAATGCTACCTGTTTTATATAAATACTTTTTCCACTTTGATTTGGACCTGAAACTATTATTATTGGTTTGTTTGAATGATTTATTGTATCATTTGGAATAAAGTTATCGGTAACCTGTTCTTGAATTAAATGACGACCATCTTTGATATCTATTACTTGTACCTCACTTGATATTGTTGGCCTTACTAGATCATAACTTTTAATGGCACTGGATAGGGATAAAACACAGTCTAATTGGGATGAGAAATTTATAATATCTATAATTGATTTTCCATTTGCGATAATTTCGTCTATAAAGTCCCTTTCAATTTTTGAATGAATATCTAATATGTCATTATGTATATCACCAAAAAAATCGTCTAGTTCTTTAGTTTTTTCGTTTTGGAAATAGAGATAGTTTGTTGTTTTAAAAGTAAACTTTAGAGTTGGTATATTGATTTGTTTTGAAATTGAAAGAGTATTATCGACTGGTATACATATTAAACATCCTAGTTGTGGGTAATAAACTAAATGAAAAGATGACACCCATGAAATATTTTGTAATTTAACTCTTTCTTGTTTGCCGTGTTGTGTCTAAAAAAAAAATTAAAATTAAAATACATTTTTTTAAAAAATATTTAAAATTAATATGTTTACTTACTAAAATTTGATCCATTGAAAGATAAACATTTCTGAGATGATCTAATTTATCATTGAAACCTTCTTTTATTGAAACTCTATCATCTTGGTCAAAACAAAAAATATTTTCAAATTTTTGATAAATATTCACCAATTCATTTGGATAAAGGTCTTTTACATTTTTTAAGAATGGAAGAGTTGGGTTCTTTGAGTTTATCAATAATTTAATTTTTACAAAGAAATGAAAAGTTTTATAGATAGAAATAAAATCTTTTAATGGATTTTGAGAAGAGCTTTATATATAATAAAAATATTAATTTTTTTTTTTTTATATTTATATTTTATTTAATTTTTACTTACAAAATTCTATTTATAATTATTCTTAAATCTTTAATATTTTTTAAATAATCTTGGAGCTCTGATTTTATAGATTGATTTTCTTGTAATGAGAAGTATTCTATTAAAGATTGTCTTTCTTCAATAATATTTCTATTTCTTGATGGTCTCATAAACCATGTCTTTAATAATTTCTTTCCCATTGATGTTTTTGTTTTATCGAACAATGCAAAAAGTGATAACCCTTCTTTACTATTGCCCTTCGAATAAAAACTAGGATGACTATAAAAATTTATGGTTAAAAGTTGTAATTTTTCTTTTAAATAGATATAATAATATGTAACATACTTTTTATTTGAGAAAATTTGTAAAGAATATAAATCATTATTTTCTAATAATAAATATTGGTCTAATGGAATCGGACATATTTCGTTAATTAATAAATTCTCTAAAGAATCAAATTCATCTAATAAAACATGCTTTGATAAGTATGATAATAAACCTCCTATTGCTCTAATCTATATTTAAAATTGAATGTTAATAAAATTTTTGTTTTTTATTTTTTAATTTTTTTAATTTAAAATAACCATTTCTATATTATCAAAATCAATGATATTTTGCAAAAACTTTAATTTAACCAATGAATTATTTGAATTACATGTTGATAATTTAATATTTAATAGTCTATTCTTTGATGACTCATATGTAAAATCGCTAAACCTTGCAAAATAAAAATCTGTTACCAATTCATTTTTTTTTTCTTCATCAGAGTTTATATTTTCTGGACCAAAACAATTTGAATTTCGTTGAATACTATCTACAAATCTTTGTGGCATTCTTGATGGAATTATAATAACTTTTGGGTTTGTTTGTTGTTTTACTATAATAAAAAAAGAAATGAATATATATATATATGAAAAGATATAAAAAAAAATAAATATATAGATATTACTTAAATGTAAACATGAAAAATTATCATCTTCCCAACTTTGACAAAGGTAAATATTCGATTCTAATCTATTATAATATGCTATTCCTATTTTTAAATCCTGATAAAAAACTGATAAAATTATTTCGTTTCTTTGTTGATTACTTTCCCCATTATCGCCATTATTTATTCTATTATTTATCGGCGATACTAATAAAGTTGGGGGAGGCACCTCATTATCTATCCACCCTATTGCTTTATCATTATCCATATTATATAAAAAAAATGAAAATAAAAAAAATATTGGAATAAATAAAATATATTTTAAAAAATTAAAAAAATTTCTATTTATATAAAATTATTATTATAAATAAAAATGTGTTTTGAAAAAAGATAATTTATTTTTTTTATTGAAAAAACTCTAAAAAAGAATTTATTGATATTTTAAATGAAGAAAGTTTTTTTGGTATTGGTAACTAATCGAAAAAAAAAAAAAAAAAAAATATTAGTAAATTTTTAATTTTTTAATGTATTGATTTAGATAAAAAATTTACCTGGAGGTGGTGGAATTGATTTGGTTCTTTTTGGACCGAGTACGAAGGCAAGTTTTGTCATTTTGCTATTTGATTATATTAAAGTGAGTATGAAAATTATTTTTAAAAAAAAAAAAAAAATGGTTTAAATTTAAAAAAAAATTCAAACAAAAAAAATAAAATTAATAAAAAAAAAAAAGATCAGAAAAAAAACTTAATTTTTTTAAAAAAAGACAAATGGAAATTAAAAGGATACATTTTTCACAAAATCAAAATAAATATAGAATTAAATTAATAAATTAAGAAAAAGATTATATAAAAAAAATTAAGAATTATATGAGTTACTTTTATGTAGATATAATTTTCAGTTAAGATGGGCAAAATTGAGTGTGGTAAAATTTTTTTTTTTTTCTAATATGCGGGGGAAAAATAAATTTATTGGGAGTAAAAATGAATTATTTGGTAGTAAAAAGAATTAAATTGTATTTTTATTTGAATTGGTGGGTGTTATAATTTGATAAACTTATATAATATACATATTAAATTAAAAATATAATTTAATAATTATTAATAGAGCACAAAAAAAAAAAAAAAAAAAAAAAAATTTTTTTTTTTATTCTATTTTATTAAAAATATAATATACATTTTGTATTGTGAAAAAAAATAAAAATGTATACAAATAAAAAGTTATCTTTTATTTTATTATTTTTAATTTGTTTTAATAATTTTCATAATGTGTTTTGTGGTGGTGGTGATGATAGTAACGTCTTGTCTTATCTGGATAGTACAGATTCAGAAAAGAAATGGGAGACTGATGAAAATGGATTCAAATATTTGCAAGCATATACAGATTCAAATAAATGCTATACTCTAAGTTTTAATGCTTACCATTCACTTGTTTCCAAAGCAACTAGAATCGAAATGGAAAATACAACTATCATAGATTGGAACACTCGCAGAGCATACCAATGGCCAGGGATAGAGTATAATTTTAAAAATACTTCGTGCACATGGTACCAAATGGATGAAACGGATGTTAAAATGTTTTTTTTCCATAGGCTTTCAATGGATATGTCAAATAATGAATATTATAAACCAAGTAAGTATTACTTAATTTTTAAAAAAAAAAAAATTAAATTTTTTTAATTAAAAAAATTCTTTTTTTTTTTTGAAATATTATTTATTTTTTTATAAAATAGATGAACAAGAAATAGCCTTATACTCGCAATATAATGACTTTGACAATGAAGACTTCCTCCTCAAAGATATAATATCAAGAGAGTTTATTACAAATATAAACTTTACTACCGGAATTGATTTGATAAATGGTATAGTTTGCAAAAAAGTTATTGGGTATTGTTCAAGAGAAACAATATATACAAATCTAACCTGTTCTAGAGAATGTTATATTAACCAAATTGATATGGATGGTAACCTAGAATTTAAAAATGTAACAAGAGATGTTATTAATTTGGGAAATGTTACAGACCAAAGAGCTTTAAACAACTATTATGATGATCTAGTTGAAATAGACCAAAAAAGTATTAAGAAATTTTTTATAAATAGCAGTGAATGGTTAACTTTATTATTCTTCGTAAGCTCAGATGAAAAATATGCAAAGTGGGTAGAAATTGGAGTAACCAAAGATGATGAAAAAATCAACAATAATATAGTAGTCTCAAGCTATGAAAAATTAGATATAAATCCCGCTACTTATTTTAATACTCCATTTATTTTTAACCCTGGTAACTATTGTCAAGAATTAGTTCCATCAATTAGATCTCAAGTTTTAGATTTTTCAAAACAACTATCTAGTGCAGAAACTCCTCAATTCCCATTTTTGAATTTCAACGGGTCATTTGATTTTTTCCTTACCGATGAAGATTCTGATGAACTAGAATGGGGTTTCGATTCATCAAGTGGTTTCGAATATATTGTCAAAGACAACTCAATTATTACAACAATTAACCATAGAGACTACAACTCATTCCAAGCCGATTTAAATACCGGTAATTGCAAAGATATAGTTACACCTGCTAATAGAACAAGAAGCCTTTATGTTAATCAAGATTTACAAAAAATTTTTATGCCATCATTATTTAATGAAAACCTCAACTGGACTTTTTCAAATAAAACTTTATACCGTGGAATCAATGTAGAAAAATGGTCGTCCTCGATTGGAAGTATTTATTTTGCACAAAATGGCTGGGGTTTCCCAGGGCGTACATTTAACTATAAACCTGACCAATCATTGCTAATTCCTGTTGGAATTAAACTTTTTAGTCTTTCAAATGACTTCATTCCAATTTATTTATTTTCTTTTGTTACAAAATCAGAAAAACATGAACTATTTGATTTTAACATTAAAAAATGCTTCCCAACTCTTCCACCTTTCTATACAACAATGGTTTCAATAAACTCAAATATAAATGGAGTAACCCTACAATACAACGAAACCTATACAATGGACATGGATAGAAATAATGTATTAGTTTCAGAAAGTAAATATGGTGGTGACTATCAATATCTATACTCATGGAACCCCCATATTTTCATTTCAGCCAATAACGACTCTTGCCAAAAGTTTCAAAATCCCAAAAATCTAACTTTATTAAATGATGTTTCCACTATCTTGGATAGTATTGGTTTTGTCAAAAGTGTCTCATTTTTCTATACCCAGTTAAGAGTTGAAAAGGAGGTTAGCCAAAGCTATATTGGTAAAGTAAATCACAGAGGTAGAGATATTCACCAATGGAGAATAAAATCGGGAACCAAGCAAATGTCAAACCCTTTTTTTAACAAAAATGGATATAACACCAATTTAACTGCAGATCTTTATTATGAACTATTCCCATCAAAACTCAACAACTTAACCTTTACTATGACCCCATCAACTGTAGTTCTTAACTTTACTTTTACTTCAAATAATTCAATACCAATTAATAATGTAATAACTATAGACTATATTCTTTTCAATACCCTTCAGGGCATATATGAAATATCTTTCAGAAATACATATAATTGTAATGATAAAAAAAATCCATCCTTTAATTGCACCAAAGATTATCAAAAGATTGAAAGAAACTCTACATCACTTATTCCTGAAAAATTCCATTCTATAATAGAGTTTAGAAACCAATTTTCAAATGTATCAATACCCCCCTTTATACTTCAATGGGATCACAATGGTCAATATAAAAATGATATCATCTCATCATTCAATTTTCAAACCAAAAGAACTCAATATATACTAAACAATCAATCAAACATCAAACATTTTAACAATGATTCAATACCACCAAACGAAACAAATTATAAAGAATCACAAATTTTTAAATTTTTAATTGGTTTGGATAAAAACAATAATAGCTACAATTTAAATTACAATAAAAAAGATCAAATCAGTTATAAGGGTGTTCCAGTGGACGTTGCATCATACACAATATCAAACAATCAAACATTAGAAATATATTATTACCCTAAAGATTGGGATGTTAGAAGTTTTTCAATTTTAAATAACAACGAAAAAGTTCCAATGTCTATTTCTTTCTATGAAAAAAATGAACTAAAAGAGCATTTAGATTTTATTATTTTTGGTAACCTTAAACAATTAATTAATAAAAATGATACAAGCTCGAGTCAAAGTAAAAATGAAAAAGATGCAAAAAACAGCAACAGTGGTTCAAAAAAAGACAAAAGTTTATCAGTTGGAGGAATTGTTGGAATTATAGTTGCATCTGTTGTAATAGTATCGGTTTTAGTTGGGCTATCGGTATTTTATGTCTATCGTAGAAAACACAGAAGAAACAACTCAAATGAAGGTAAAGCAGTATTATTAGAAGATAGAGTATTGAGTGACTCTTCGAATACTATAAACTCACCAAACAATAATGCAATAATTTAAATGGAAAAATAAATTTTTTTAAAGATTAAATAAAATATAGTAATATAAATAAAAAAAAAACTTTTGTTTTTTTTAATTTTTTTGTTTATTTTTTATTTTTGTTTATAATTAGCTTTAATGCTGGTTTGGATGAATCGTTTGATGAACGACTTGATGAATGATGTGAAAATGAATGTCTTGATGAACTGCCACCACTACTGCTGCTACTACTTCCTTTCTTCATTTTATTATATAATGACTTTAATTCCTGGCCTCCACTTGCGGTATATTTCGATGCGGTATACCAAAGATGAGAATCTAATTCATCTTTCTTTGATGATGGTGATTTATAGTGGTCATCAACGATACCTGAAATCTCATTACCTAGAGCTAAAAGATATTTCTTTGTTTTCATTACCTTTTCCTCCCTTGAAATTGGTCTCTTTGAATCTGAAAGTACTTGGAATTTCTGTAAAAGATCTCTGATTGGTGATAAATAACCTTTACATTTTCTTAATAAATCTCTATTATAATTTTTATCCTCTTCTTCATGATCCCTCTCTCTTTCTCTTTCTCTGTCTCTATCTCTGTCTCTATCTCTATCATTTTCATCTTCTTTTCTTGATGATCTTCTTGACGATGAATGGGATGAGGATGAATGGGATGAAGATGAATGAGATGATGATGATGGTCTACCTCTGCCTCTACTTGTACTTCCACCTCTTGACTCATCATCAGAATAATGTTTAGATGATCTTGATGAAGTTGTAGTAGTTGTTGATGAAGATTTTGATGGAGATCTCTCACCCAATTTAGTTGGTGGCATTGAAACTCTGCCAAAGCTAGTTCTTTTTGGTGATAAAATTTCTTTTTGTAACTCCTCATCACTCTTTAATTTCTTTTTATGTCTACCTGAGCCTTTTCTTTCTTCTTGTGAATCCTCATCTTCGTCGATTTCATCGTCTTCATCATCAGAATATTTACTATTTCTCTTCTTTGTTGCAGTTGATGAACCAGCTTTTCTACCTCTCTTCTTTGGAATTTTGAAATCTTCGCCATTTGTATCTCCCTCTTTATCCTTTGATGATTTCTTGTTTGATTTCATAATATCCCTGGCTGTTTTTAATAAACTATCGACTCTTCTTTGTAATGTTGCACCCTTTAATTTAGTACTATCGATACCATTTGCTTCAGTTTCAATAATATTTTCAAAACCTAATGTGGTATCCTTTTGAATGGATTCCCAATTACCAACACCATGTTTATATATACCCATTAAAAGAAGAGCATCTTCTTTTGGTCCCCATTTTACAGCCCATGACACAGGTCTAATTGGAAATGTAACTCTGAATTGTTGATGATCTTTAAGATATGGTGTACACATTTCTGCTAAAACCTCCATCTCTTGAATACGTTGAACAAACTCGGTGGCATTTATATCGGTACCATTATATACTATATGAACTTTATCAGAATCAGAATTATCTCTAACTGCATGTTGAGCTGCTTCGATGATCTCTTTGCATATATCCTCAGTTGCCCTTAGTGGTTTGCTACTGAAATCTGAATCCGCTAAAATTTCCTTACAACGTTTATATGTACCAAACTTTTTCAATGATCTAATTAATAGTTTAATCTCCTTCTTATTATAAAATTGGCTAATATCTCTTTTAAGTTTGACATTCACAATAATTGGTTCGGATATACTACGAATTTGAGCTGGTTGGTTATTTTCAATAACTCTTCTTCTTGTACCTAATAACATTAATTGATCTTTTTCTTCATCTTGAGCAACTTTCTTACGCTCGCTATCTGGAATAATATCCTCCCATGAGGTGTCTTCCTTTGATGATGATGTGGAAAAGTTGGCAACTCTGAATGAATTTAATAACTCTTCACCGGCAGTAGTTGGTTCATTACTTGTATCTCTTTGTTCAGCTCTTGAAAGAATTTCATCAATATCCATTTCTTCGATCGAATTGCCTTGATTATCTTCGCCCTCTTTAAAAAGATCTTCGGCACCAAATTTTAAAATTGCTTCTAACTCTTCTTTTTTAAATACATTTGGGTTGCTGTTTGGGGCTTGACCGCTACCAGCTTTAGCAGTTTGCGATTTCTCCATAGTTTGAATAACTAAATGATCCAAAACCATCTTTTGTTTAGCTCTTTCTAAAATGTCTTCTTCAACAGATTTCTTTGAAACTAATCTATAAATATTTACATGATTCTTTTGACCGATACGATGTGCTCTTGCTTCAGCTTGTAAATCATTTTGAGGATTCCAATCAGAATCAAAGATAACAACAGTATCAGCAGTTGACAAATTGATACCAAGACCACCTGCTTTAGTTGAAAGAAGGAAACAGAAATCTGGCGAATCGACGGCATTAAAACGGTCCATAGCTTTACTTCTATTTTCTCTGCTCATTGAACCATCGAGTCTTTGGAAACAAAACGATCTACCCTTTAAATACTCTGCTAAAATATCCAACATTCTAACCATTTGTGAAAAAATTAATACCCTATGACCAGTCTCTTTTAAACGAACCAAAAGTTTATCCAAGAGCACTAATTTACCGGATGCCTTGATCATTGCTTCGAGTGGATCTTTAGCATTTTGTTCGCATTCTTCTTTTGCACTTTCATAAAGATATGGATGGTTACAAGTCTTTTTTAATTCGGTCATAATATTTAAAAGAGTAGTCTTTTCACCTTTAACACCTTTGTTGAGTTCTTGGAAATTCTTGGTTAAAATCCATTTGTAATATTTTTTTTGAACAGCTGATAAATCTACACGGAGAATACGCTCAGTCTTTGGAGGCAATGATTTTTCGACATCTTTTTTAATTCTACGAAGCAAATGTGGTTTTAATACGCTATGGAGTTGAGCAATTTGATCATTCTCTTTCAAATCTGAATATTGATCTTGGAAATCTTTAAGTGATGTGAATTTATTTGGCATTAAGAAATTTAAAAGATTCCAAAGCTCTTTGAGTGAATTTTGAAGTGGTGTACCAGTAACTAATAATCTATTGGTTGTATGATAAAGTTTTAATACCTCGTGGAGCACTGATTCGCTATTCTTTAAACGGTGAGCTTCATCAACGGCTAAAAACTCCCATTTAATAGAACCCAATATATTTTTATCTTTGAGAATAAAATCATAAGTTGTGAGAAGAACATGGAAATTTAATTTCTTTTTTCCATTTCTATTGATCGTGAAAAATTCGTGCATTCTAATAATTTCTCTACTGGTCGATGAACCAGTGTAAACTATAAGATTCATTAATGGTGCCCATTTAGCAAACTCTCTTTGCCAATTTTCTATGGTGGATAATGGAACAACAACTAAAAATGGGCCCTTGATACTTTGTTCATTAAAGAGATAAGAGAGGAACGAAATAGTTTGAATAGTTTTACCAAGACCCATTTCATCTGCTAAAATAACATTTGTATTATTCATCCAACTGTGAACCAACCAATTTAAACCCTCCATTTGATAGTCACGCAATGTACCTGCTGAGATCCAACTTGGTTGTTTATCCAATTTTGTAAAACCCTGTTCCAATCTTTTCTTGGCACCAACTGAATTTGGTTTAGCTGGTGCATTTTGATTATTTTGTTGACGTGTTAGGAAAAGATCGATTTCAGATTGATACTCGACTATATCTTCTGGATACTCCCATGTAACCTCAGAATATGGTAATACCTTCCATTTAACCAAATATTGAATATTGGATTTATACTCTGGATTTATTGGTGCAGTGATAGTGGTAGTAGTTGTAGTATTACTATTATTTATTGTTGGTGGTGAATTTGCTGTTGGTGGTGAATTTGTTGTTGGTGATGATGATGAATTTTCAATTGTTGTTGTGTTTTGTTGTTGTTGCTGTTGTTGTTGTTGTTGTTGTTGCTGTTGTTGTTGTTGTAGGTGTGGTGGTGGTTCCATTTCTCTTGAAGCAATAATACGTTCAACATTGGTATATTCTTGGTATTCTTGTTTTTGTAATTCTTTGGCAATATCAGCCTGTTCGAGATCTTCTTTAGATGCCTCTTGTCTCCATTGGATTTGATCTAAAATACCCTTGACATAGTTCACCAACTTCTTATTACCCTTGAAATTGATTAATGTTTCATATGCATCCCAAGTATTGTGAATATAGGCCCATCCTTTCCACTTTACAAAAAACTCGTAATTCTCCACATTAAAACCATCTTGCTCTTGAACACCTTTCTTTAACTGATGATCTAAAATTTTTTCGATTTCATCTTCTTCGCCCGGTTCAATGATTGGTGATACTATTTGAGCAGCTGTTGAACTTTTTTTACTGCCACTATAATCGTCTCCTTCCTCATCCTCTTCGTCGCTATTAAAAATTGAAAAATCTATATTGCCACCATTTCCTCTCGTTCTTAAATTTAAATGAGTAATAGTGTTTTCCTCTTCTTCTTCTGAATTTATTTTTCCTATTGTTTTTTAAAAAAATTAATTATTAATAAAATTAAATATAAATTATCTGAATATGTCGAGATTACTTTTAGATTGTCTTTTTATTGTTCTTTTCTTTTTACCACCATCACTTGAATTATCAGAGTAATCTTCGTCGCTTGAGCCTGATGTTGAAAAAATTTCGTCAGAAACATTATTAGAGTCACTACCATCTTGCTCATCATCTGAATCGATTGGTGTTTTATGTAACTGTGTTGCACCTCTTCTTGTCCTAGTTGCCGGTATAGCCCAGTTTGAGTCTTCATTTTTTGATTTACTTTTAGCTTTTTGATTAACTTTCTTTTTACCCTTTTTAACTGCTTTACCTTTACCTAATTATATAAAAATATTAATATATTATACTTTACTTTAAATATTTAAATATATTGATGAATTACCTTTCTTTTTATTTGGTTCATAATCGGAATCTGACTCTGAATCTGACTCTTCGCTACCAGAAAAAACCACTTTTTTAGATGCTCCTCTACCTGAACGAGTTGTTTTTCTAGTATATTTTTCTGATTCATCCGATTCGTAATCTGATTCTGATTGTTCCGGTTCTGACTCTGCACTTGGTTCATAATCTGAATCTGATGCCTCTTTAGCACTAACCTCTGACTCCTCACTTATTTCATCATCGTACTCTATAATCGTTTTCTTTTTATTCTTTAGGTTTGATCTGTCAAATTCGTCGGATTCATCTTCTTCGTCTTCTTTTTCACTTTGTTTTAACGGTTTTTGTAATGGGGGTGGAGGTATTGGTTGCTTCATTGATTGTTCACCAACAACATCAGCATCTTCCATTTCTTCATCTTCATCATCCTCTTCTTTTGATGTATCTAAATTTGATGTATTTAATGATGTATTTAATGATGTATTTAATGATGTATTAAATGATATATTATTGCTATTCGAGGCAACTACTGCTGCTACTGCTGCTACTGATAAATTTGAAGGTGGAGATAAAAGTGATGACGTAATTGGTGATGGAATTGGCATAAAATCTATTGTATTGGTTGATGTAGGCGATGCCAATGGTGGTGATATTGTGGGCATATATGAATTAAGAATTGGAGGAATGTTCATATTTATACCATTGATATTATTAATACCATTACTATTTAAACCATTCATACCTAAATTATTTACTGGAACCACAGGTGTTTGAAATTGTTGAAATTGTTGTTGTGGTGGCTGTTGGTTATGTGGTGGTTGTTGGTGATATTGCTGATAGGGATTACCTGCATTATTATATATACCTCCATATGGATTGTTATTGTTATTGTTATTATTATTGTTATTATTCATCTTTTTTTATCCTTTAATAACACTATAACTAATTTATTATATTTATTATAACAAAATTAAATATTATTGATAATAGCTAAACTATTATTATTATTATTATTATTATAATTATTATTATTATATTATTACTATTTATATACAAATTTTAAAGATTTTATTTTTTTTTTTTTTTTTTATTTCTTTTGAAGATATTATTAAAATAAATTAAAATAAATTAAAATAAATGAAAATAAACAAAATTTATTGGAAAAAAAAATTAAAAACACAAAATAAAAAAAAATAATTTGTATAATAAACTAAAAAAAATATTTTTTAATACAATATATATTAAACTAATCAATTTTTTCTTTTTCTTTTTTTTTTAAAAACAACATATGATAAATTATCTTTGTTCAAATATAATTTAAAAAAATAATAAAAAAAAGAAAAAATTTAAAAAAAAATTTAAAAAAATTTAAAAAAAAAAAATTTTAAAAAAAAAATTTAAAAAAAAATTTTGATAAAAATTTAAATTAAAAAAAAAAAAAAAAAAAAAAAAAAAATTCTCAAACTGTAATAATTATTTTAAGATATAAGAAAAGGGAAAATCAACCAATAACCGAAATTTGAAACTATTGTAATAATATAAACATTTATAAAAAAAAATGAAATTATTGAAGTGATCTTCAAAATCCTTAAATAGAACAATTGAATATTTTGAGATACGCCGAATACATGCATACATATATGATGGTAATAATTATAAAATAATATTTATAGTTATTAATGAACAAGTGACCATTTATAAATAGAATAATATTTTATAAATAGTGGTATAATATCTTAATTTTTATTCCATATTTATTTATCAAACCGTTAAAAAAAAATTTTTAAAAAAAGTGGGGGAAACCAAAAAAAAAAAAAAAATTAAAAAAAGCAAAAAAGGAAATTAGACCAATTTATAATTGATGAACCAAATGAAGTTTTATTTTAATTGTTTTCTTCTTTTTGGAGTTTACTTAAAAGCTTATTAATTTGATTTGACATTATAGGTTGACCTTTTTTAGTTTTCTTTAAAATTACAGCAAATTTCTCTTTTTTCTTTTGTTGGATATGTTTTTTAGTTTGCTCTTTTTTTTCCTCTATTTGTTTAAACATTTCCTCCCTTTCTTTTTTCTCTTTTAAGTATTGCTGTTTAGCTAATTGAAATTGTTTTTGAACTGAAAAATTAGTTTCTCTCTCGTCCATTGCCTCTTCTCCATCTTTTTTATTTTCGTTTTTATTATCAATATTTTTATCGTTTTTATTATTACTATTATTATTATTATTATTTTTATTATTTTCTTTTTTATTATTTATTTTATTTGAATATTCATTTTCATTTTCATTATCATTATCGTTAGTATCTTGATCATAATCATCACCCTTTTTATTTTTTTTATTTTCTCTAATTGATTTTCTGCTAAGTTCTGAATATTTTTTATTATCACCTGTAGCAAACTTTATTAATTTGTTAGTAAATATATATATATATATATGTATGTTGTGTAGTATTATTATAAACCAATGTTTCGGATGATTGGTATTTATTAGTTAGTTATTATTTTTAAAATATTTACCCTTGATAATGGATCATTATTTTGATATTGACTATAAATATCTGCTACTGCTTTATTATCATCTCTATTTATTTGTTTAGATCTTTCATATTTTGATTTAAACTCTTTTTCTTTTTTATGTAATTCAATTTCTAAAAAAATAAAAATATCATTATTAATATTTTATAATTTGATATGTATTTTTAGTTAATCCGATTATTTTGCTATTATTATTGTTATTGTTATTATTATTATTATTTATTTTTATTTAAATTAATTTATTACTTTTTTTTGAAACATAGACTTTATTTCTATCAGCAAATCTACCAATTGATAATCTATCTCTATCTTCACTTTGGTTTTGTCCGATTCTAGCTCTTTGAGCAAAAATTTTCTTTTTATCTTTATTACTCATATTATACGACGGTTTATATACAATTTTGATTTTAAATTAAAAATAAAAAATAAAAATAAAAAAACGAAAAAAAAAAATTTTGAAAAAAAAAAAAATAAAAAAAAAAAAATAAAAAAATAATAATAATAATTAAATAATCATAATTATCTTTTTATTTATTTTATATTAAGGAAAAAGTAACTAATATTATCAATAAAATAAATGTTATAATTAAAAAAAAAAAAAAAATTAAATATAAATATAAATAAAATAAATAAAAAATATTAACTTAGTATTTAAAAAATTATAATTATAAAAAAATCATTGTGTTTTTTTTTTTTTTTTGTTTGGTTTGGAAAATTAAAAAGATTTCTTTTATTTGTTTTAAAATAATCAGAATGATGTTATATAGCCGTTTTGTTTTTTTTTGTTCACAAACAAAACAAAAAAAAAAAAAAAAAGGAAAAGAAAAAAGAAATTTGAATTGTGTGTGTGAATCTCCAATGAGAAATTTATTACCAATTTTTTTTAAGACGACAAAATTCAATGGAAAAAGTAAAGTGGAAAAAAAAATAAAAAAATAAAAAAAAATAAAAAAAAATAAAAATAGATATTTAAAAGCAAGCTTGAGAATTTGGAAAATTGGCAAAGCCACAAAAAATGATGGAGTTTGAGAAGGAAAACGGATTGGAAATTTATATTTTGTTTTTTTTAATTTTATTTTTATTTAATTTTTTTTTAAAAAAAAAGATTTTTTAAATTCCCCTAAAAAAAAAAAATATAAATAATTCTATAATTTTATTTTTTCATCATTCATTTTATTTTATCTTCAAATTCATATATATATACAACAAGATGAGAATTATCTTAGCCTTAGTTTTCTGTTTCTTAATCGTCAACTGTATTTCAGCTGCTCGTGTTTTCTCACAAAAACAATACCAAACTGCTTTCCAAAACTGGATGGTTAAACACCAAAAATCATACACCAATGACGAATTCGGTTCAAGATACACTATTTTCCAAGATAACATGGATTTCGTCACCAAATGGAATCAAAAAGGTTCAGACACCATCCTCGGTTTAAATTCTATGGCCGATTTAACTAACCAAGAATACCAAAGAATCTATCTTGGTACCAAAACCACTGTTAAAAAACCAAATCTTATTATTGGTGTTACCGATGTTTCAAAAGCCCCAGCTTCAGTCGATTGGAGAGCCAACGGTGCCGTTACTGCTGTTAAAAATCAAGGTCAATGTGGTGGTTGTTATTCATTCTCTACTACTGGTTCAGTTGAAGGTATTCACGAAATTACTTCTAAACAATTAGTTTCCTTATCAGAACAACAAATTTTAGATTGTTCAGGTTCAGAAGGTAACAATGGTTGTGATGGTGGTTTAATGACCAACTCATTCGAATACATCATTGCTGTTGGTGGTCTCGATACCGAAGCTTCATACCCATACGAAGGTGTTGTTGGTAAATGTAAATTCAACAAAGCAAATATCGGTGCTACCATCACTGGTTACAAAAACGTTAAATCAGGTAGTGAATCAGATCTCCAAACTGCCGTTGCTGCTCAACCAGTTTCAGTTGCTATCGATGCTTCACAAAACTCCTTCCAATTATACTCATCAGGTGTTTACTATGAACCAGCTTGTTCATCAACTCAATTAGATCACGGTGTCTTAGCTGTTGGTTATGGTTCACAATCAGGTCAAGACTACTGGATCGTTAAAAACTCATGGGGTGCTGATTGGGGTGAAAAAGGTTTCATTTTAATGGCCAGAAACAAACATAACAACTGTGGTATTGCTACCATGGCCAGTTACCCAACCGCCTAAGTAAATTAAATATATATATTAAAAAATTAATAAACTAAATAAAATTTTGTACAATAAACCTAAAAATATCTTTTTTTTTTATTTTTTTATTTTTTTTATTCTTAATTAAAAATTCCCTCAAAATATTTATAATAGCTATAAATTGTTCAAAAATTAATCTTACTAAATCCAAATCTTGATTTTACTTATTGTAAATTAATTAATTTTTTTTATTTTTTTTTTTATTTTATTTTTTTTTTGTTTTCGACTCACCAAAAGACACTCAAAATTTTTTATTATGTTGTTTCTCAAGATTTCATAATAATTATAAGATTTCATAATAATTATTAAAAAAAAAAAAGAAAAAAAAAAAAAAGTATTTCCACATTTTACAATAATCATCAAAATTAAAATTTTATTTTAATTTTTATTTGTAAAATGAAAATAACTATTTTACAAATTTTATTTCCCACCTTTAAAAAAAAAAAAAGTTTTTGTAAAAATATATTTTTTTTTTTAAAGTAAGTTAATTCAAAGCATTTTCCAAAAATTGTTTGAAAATTAAAAATACTTTTCGTTGGTATTAAAAAACAATTTTATATATAAAAAAAATCAAAACAAAAATTATTATGATTGGATATTTTTTTACAATTGAAATGTTTGGATTGATGAGGAAAATTATTTTTCAAAAAAAAAAATTCAAAAGAAATTTTCAAAACAAGATGATGTAACAAATAGTTAGTAAAAAAATAAGTTAAAAAATAATTTTATAAAGAAATTTATTTTCATTTTAGCAAAAAGTTAAAATAAAAAAAATATAAATTCAACCAATAATTTTTTATTTTTTTCATTTTACATATTTTTCATTATTTATATAAATATTATTTATATTTTTTATTTATCCGATTTAACTATATTTTTAATTTTTTAAAAACAAAAAAAATTCAAAATGAGATTAGTTTTAGCTTTAATTTTCTGTTTCTTAATCATCAACTGTTGTTCAGCAGCTCGTATTTTTTCACAAAAACAATACCAAACTGCTTTCCAAAACTGGATGGTTAAACACCAAAAATCATACACTAATGACGAATTTGGTTCAAGATATAGTGTATTCCAAGATAACATGGATATTGTTGCTAAATGGAATCAAAAGGGTTCAAACACTATCCTTGGTTTAAATGTTATGGCCGATTTAACTAATGAAGAATTCAAAAAACTTTACCTTGGTACCAAAGCCAACGTTACTTACAAAAAGAAAACTTTAGTTGGAGTTTCCGGTCTCCCAGCTTCAGTCGATTGGAGAGCCAACGGTGCCGTCACTGCTGTTAAAAATCAAGGTCAATGTGGTGGTTGCTATGCTTTCTCTACTACTGGTTCAGTTGAAGGTATTCACGAAATTACCTCTCAACAATTAGTTCCATTATCAGAACAACAAATCTTAGATTGTTCAGGTTCAGAAGGTAACAATGGTTGTGATGGTGGTTTAATGACCAACTCATTCGAATACATCATTGCTGTTGGTGGTCTCGATACCGAAGCTTCATACCCATACACTGGTGAAGTTGGTAAATGTAAATTCAACAAGAAAAATATCGGTGCTACCATCACTGGTTACAAAAATGTCGAATCAGGTAGTGAATCAGATCTCCAAACTGCCGTTGCTGCTCAACCAGTTTCAGTTGCCATTGATGCCTCACAAAGCTCCTTCCAATTATATGCATCAGGTGTTTACTATGAACCAGAATGTTCATCAACTCAATTAGATCACGGTGTCTTAGCTGTTGGTTATGGTTCACAATCAGGTCAAGACTACTGGATCGTTAAAAACTCATGGGGTGCTGATTGGGGTGAAAATGGTTTCATTTTAATGGCCAGAAACAAAGATAACAACTGTGGTATTGCTACCATGGCCAGTTTCCCAACCGCCTAAGTAAATTATTTTTTAAAAAATAATAAAATATATGATTAAATTTAGTCATCAATTTTTTTAAAAACAAACTGTATAAATAAATATCGTTTAAGAAATTTTTTTTTTTTTTTTCAATTTTTAATTATAAAATAATATCTTATAAAGAATTCTTTTATTTGGAGTTTCTTTTATTATTTTATTTAATCTTTAAGTAAAATGGACGAAAATTGTGATGGCAGCTTTGATTTGTTTAATTTATAGTATTTAAGATAGTACTATCTTAAATATCACTATTATAATTATTATTTTTATTATAACTATTTATATTTGTTATTGTTATTGTTGTGTTTTTTTTTTTATATTTTTTTTATTTTTGTTGATGAGGTTGCTAATAGAGCAAACCATATTAGTAAAGATAAAAACAAAAGAGTAATAAAGTTTTTTAATAAATTATTTATTTTTATATTAAAGTTTTATTTTATTATGGTGATATGGTTGTTAATTATTAATTATTTAATATTTAATATTATGATTTCTATCAGTTTTTATTAACTCTAATTTCACGGATACTATTATTACTAATAATTTATTTTTTTATATCAAAACAAGAATTATTATTATTATTGCCATTATTATTATTTAAATTAAAAGATGAGTGTTTTTAATGGTTGTTCTGATGATTCTAATTGATCTTTAGTTTTCTTAGTTTTGTTATTAAAATATTTTTTTTTTTATAGTTTTATTATCCATTTTCCTTTTATATCCCTTTTAATATTTATTTAATACTCTAAAAAAAAATTTTAATTTTTTTTAATTTTTTTTTTTTTAATTATTTTTTTTTATTTTTTCTGAATATTTTTTTATTTTTTTTATTTTTGTAATTATACTAATACTTTATATCTAATACTTCAATAAACAAATGAATAAAAACCAAGAGATTATAGCATTAGATGATGATGACGATGACGACTACACAAGTATAAACAACCTTCAGGATTGCGATATTTTTAATGATTCAGAGCTTTATAAGGTATATGAAGATTCACCACAATCGCACTCTAAAACAACAAAAAAAGAAAAACTAGGTTTTAATGATAGTGATATTATGACACCAGAAAGATTACCAAAAAGACAAATAAAACCAGTCATTACAACCACCTCAATAACAACTAGAAAAAGACAACAACAACAACCACAACAACAACAACCACCACAGCAAATTACATTAGATGATTCTGATGATGAACCAATAGATAAAAATAAAAATAATAATAATAATAGCTATAATAAAAATAACAATAATAATATTTCAATTGATAGCTCACCGATCAAAAACAATTTTACTAAAAGAAAGAATGAAGAAATAGAATGTATAAACAATGATGAAGATAAAAAGAAGATTAAGAAAAAGAAAAAAAATAAAAATGATACAAGCGGCCACAAACCAATCACTGAATTTTTCGACAATAGTAGCATAGATATTAGTCATCAAGATCTAAAGAGCTATACAGATGATTCTTTTATAGATTCAGAGGATGAAAAAGATTTTGCTACAGAATTTACACTTAACAATACCACATCGAAAGATAAGCCCAAAAAGCCATCAAACCAAACAAAGAAACCATCCAATAGATCCAAAATAAATACACAAAAGAAAACTTCATCAGACTCTGAATCAGGCTCAGATTTAAACTCAGACTCAGATTATAAACCATCAGATGAATCGGAATCCGGCTCTACCTCAAATTCATCATCCTCATCATCTTCATCATCCTCATCATCATCCTCATCATCATCATCATCGAAAATATTAAGAAATATAAATAGAAAAAAAAATAAAAAGATATCCAAGGAATCCTTAAAAAGAGACACGTATATGTCATTTGATATCAGCTTCGAAAAAGAACCAAATCACAATGAAATGCGCGAACTACTACAAGGTCAGGAAGTTCATAATATGGAGTACAGAAGAAATGGCATAGACTATTCAATTAGATTCGTTAGAAAAGATGGTTGCATGGAAGAGTTTATTGAAAAGTTTATAATAATATTATTACCAGTTGAAAAATTTGTGGATTTAATAAGAGATGGCAAAACTATAGATTATATCAGAGTAATCAAAGAGAAGCATCCAAATTGTAAATTCACTTTAGTTATTGAAAGATTAGAGTACCATCTAAAATCAAGAGCGAAAGATGCCAAAGAAAGAGTTCAAAAGAGTTTATTAGAAAAGTCCAAAACTATAGATACAAGAGTTGTGCCCGATAAAAGCACAGTTAATAAAGTCTTTATTGATATCCAATTGGCCTTTGGATTCACAATTAAAGCAATCGAAGAAAAAACTGATGTTATCAACTACATATCAAAGTTTTATCATATGATCATGTATAAACCACTAAAATCAGAAAGTAAATTGTTTAGTGGTTTTTGCGCTGAATCCATTAAAAAGAAAACAAAAGATATGTCATTAACTGAAATTTGGACCAACCAACTTTGTCAAGTTACAGGTATCTCAAGCAATATTGCAAGGTGTATAGTTGGTGAATATCCAACAATTAGTGCGCTCTATTCAAAATACAGTAGCTTTTCATCAGAAAAAGAAAAAGAAATGGCATTAAAAGATTTAAAATATGATATTTCGGGTGGCAGAAGAAGACTGGGTAAAGTTTTATCAACAAGAATTTATAAAATATTTTATACAAACGATCCAAAAAAAATTATTAATGTTTAATAAAACTCAAATATAAAAGTAAAGGTTCAATCATTTTACTTTTTCAATTAAAATTAAATAAAATGTATAATATATACAATTATTTTTAAAGTGTATAAAAAAAAAAAAAAATTTAATTGCAGATTTAGATAGATGGAAATTAAAAAAAAAAAAAAATAAGAGTAATTTTTATAAAACTAAATGAAAAGAAAGAAATAAAAAGGTTTTTTACAATAAAAGAAATGTGTTTATTTTTTTGTTGATTTTTTAATACCGCCTCCAGTTAATGGACCACCTGATTTGGCTTTGGCTTGCATTTCTTTTAAGGCTTTTTGTTCTTCTTTTTGTCTATTTTGGAAAGCAACATCATCCTGGTAATAAGAAAAAGATAATTTATATTAGATTAGGTTTTATTTTTTTTTAAAAAAAACCATTAAAATAAATCGTAATAATACTTACATCGTCATATTCTTTGGCATCTTTCTTTGGAGCCTTTAAAGGTTTCTTTTTACCACCTTTTAATGGTTGAGAGGTTGGTAAAGAAATTAATAAGTATGGTAAAACATCCCACATTTTGGTTCGATAAAGTGTGATTATGTATTAAATATATAAAAAGCGTAAAATATTAAAATTTATATTATTAATTTAATAATACAAAATTTTAAAAGTTATTATTATTTTGATTAATATAAAGGTATAAATAAAATTTTTTAAAATGATATAATTTTATTTATCATCAAAAAAAAAAAAGAATTAAATTGAAAATTTTATTAATAAATTATTTTTAAATTTGATGTTGATGATATTTTCTTGTTTAAAATAATGATTAAAAACAAGAAGAGAGCGAGCGCCGTTTAAATTTTAATTATATTTAAAAAATATAGTAAAATAGAATTTAAAAATTGATTTAAAAATGAACAAATTTTTTATTATAATAAAAAATATTATTATTTTGGAGAAAAAAAATTTTAAATAAATAAATAAAATTAAATAAATAAATAAATAATAATAAATAATAATAAATAATAAATAATAAATAAATAAACAATAAATAAATAAATAAATAAATAATAATACAAAAATAGTATAAATTTGAAAATATAAAATATATAATTGGTATAAGGTGCGCAAAGTGTTTGATTTTTATATATAAAATGTGAACGTGTTAATGTGTGTTATTTTTATATTATCTGATAAAAAATTATATGATATATAAATTTTATGTATATCTATGTTTAGTTATTAATAATATGATTATAATTGTTATTGATACAATAAATAAAAAATAAATAAATAAATTTGATTTGTTTTATTAATTATTAAATTAATTGAAATGATACAAATAAAACAAAAAAAAAAAAATGTTACAATGGTTTAAATAGAAAAAAAAAAAATTTTAAAATTTAAAACCAAGACAAAATTAAATTAAAATAATAATCATATTGTTATTTTTTACTGTTATTGATAGTTGTGGTTAATTGGTGTTTTAAAAAAACCATGTGAAGGTTAGTTTAAAAATAGTTTATTAAAGAAAAGAGACAGAAAACTGGTGAAAACTATGTAGATTGGTGAACAAAATGATTAAAAATCATGGAGTGTAATAATTATTGTGTTTGGGGTGAATTGTGTGAATGTACACACTAGTGTGTTGTATGTGGTTATTTTAAAATAATAATAAATTTAAAAAACAAAAACAAAATAAATCAAAATAATATACTCGCTCTATTATTAGGTGTTTATGAGATTTTATTGTGATACATACCATCTTTTCCGGTCATTTTGTTATGTCTAATTTTAAATTAATAAAAAAATTTTATGTTAGTAATAATTTAAATAATGATATTAATAGTTTGATGGGTGTGGTGTGTGGTGGTTTTTTTTTTTGTTTTATTTATTTTTGAGGTTAAATGATTTATATGGAGTAATTATTTGTGGTGTGTTAATATAATACTAAAACTATTTCTGTATTATCTTAATTTTAGAGTACAATGTGGTTATAAATGCAACAAAAATAATTAATTACCTATGTGTATGTAACACACCCTATAACTTCCTCATTAGAATAAGTTATAAACCTTTTTTATAAAAAGTATAATACAATAACTTGTGTGTAATTACACAAACATATTAAATTAATATATTTGCATATATATAACTTTTTAAATGTGCCACACAATAGGTAGATTAAATGAAGTTTTTGAAATCAATCTTGATAAAAAAAACAATAATGTATAGACCTTTTAACTTTTAATAGTTAATGAATTATTATTATTATTATTATTATTATTATTTTATGTTGGTAGAAAAGGTACTAAATTATTGATCCAATATAAGTTTTTTTTAAAAAATAAAAAATAAAGTGTCTGATAATATAATTAGGGGTCAAAGATAAAATCACACAAAAAAAAAAAAGCTAAAAAATAAAGTTTTTTGGATGTGTCTAAAACTTCACATAAATATCATAATCTTTATTTCTATTTTCTTTCTCCTTCTATTTTTTTTTACTTTATATAATAAAAAAAACAAAAATGGGTGTAACAATTATATGTGAATAGGTTATTTGTTTAAAAAAAGTTTTGTGGATTTAAAATAAATTTAAGATTCGTTTTATTTGTTTTAAAGTGTTATTTTTAGTGTTTTTTTTTATGATATTATGATAAATTTTGAAAATATAAAGTCATGAAATAAAATGTTATGAACAAAAGTTTTAAAGTTGTTTGAAGGTTTTTTGATTTGTCATACGATATGAGTTATTTTTGGTAGTTGATATTAGCAAGTAAGTGAGCAAAAAACGTTATTTATTTTTTATTTATTTTTTTCTAAATAATGGTGATAATAGAAGTTATAGTAATGTTATAATGTAAATAATTATTAATGTGATGATGTATTTAATTGTATATTTATCTGTATTTTATGGTGTTTTTTCTATAGCAAATTTTGTGTATTATTTTCTTTTATACAATTTACTATTTTTTTTATTGTGATTCTTTGGATAAATATTACAAAAGTTTAAACTTTTAACATTTATTGTATAATTATATGTTGTAATTTAATTGACATATAATATGTATAAAACCCATAAATGTTTTAAATAAAGATTCTATAAAAAATGGTAAAAAAAAAAAAAAGAAATTTTCAAAAAAAAAAAAACAAAAAACAAAAAACAAAACAAAGAATTAAATAAAATTTTATTTGAATTGACAAATAGTAATGAAGTTAAATTTATTTATTTATTATTTATTTGTTTTTTTTATATTTTAAATATTTATTATATTATTATTAAATATATTTTTTTTTAAAATATTTTCTATAAAACAATAGAAGGTAAAGTTATATATAATCCTCTTTATATTTTACAATGATAACAATAAAAATTCTTTTTTTTGTGAAAATAAATTTGTTTTGTGTTAACTTACATATATAAAGTTTAATTTGAATAATGTTAAAAAATCGAAAAAAAAAAAAATTAAAAAATTTTTAAAAAAAAAAAAAAATTTTAAAAAAAAAATAAAAATAAAAAAAAATAAATATTTATTTTTATATATTTATTATTATTTATATAACACACTTTATTTTTTGTTTATAAAAAGCCTATTTTGTATAAATAATTATTTGTTTTTTTTTATATTTTGAAAAAAAAAAAAAAAAAATTTTATTGATCAAATTGTTTTGATTAATTAAAAAAAATAATTAAATAAATATTTATATTAGTGAATTCATTAAAGTACAATGGTGGCATTGTTATAACTATTTAAATGAATGGAATTCAACACAATCATTATGTATTTAAAAACGATTCTTTTTTTTTTTTTTAAATCTAAAAAAAACTTAATTAAAAATTTTTATTTTTTTTTATTTTTTTTTTTTTATTTTTTATTTTTAGTTTTTTAAATATTTATTTTTTAATTTTTTAATTTTTTTTTTAATTTTTTTTGGTGATTGATTATAACCTTTTTTTTTTTTTATTTTTTTTATTTTAAAATTCTCATCTTTTGTTATATATATATATATATATAATAATCAATAATAAACTAGTTTTAATTGTATTACTTAATACAAATAATTATTTTATTTCGGTGGGATCTCTAATACATTTTTTTCTTATAAAGAAAGTAATGATATTGAGAATATAGACTTATTTTACCTTTTTTTATTTTTTTTTCAGGGGAAAAAAAAAATCGATGATCAAAAACAACAACAATAAATAATAATAAACAAATCAATTTAAACAATAAGCAATTTTCTTTATTAAATAATTTTTCAATTTTTAATAAGCAATTTTTTCATACCATTTTATCTTAAATAACAATAATAATAATTTAATTAATTTATAATAAAAATTCAATAGACCAATTATTTTCTTTTAAAATAAACAACAACAATAAACAATTCTGTAATCAATAATATTTTTATTGATATTTATACCTCCTCATAATTTTTTTTTTTTCAAAATACACCCAAATTCACACACATAAACACCAAAATTTTTTTTTATTATTTAATTTTTTTTTTTTTTATTTTTTTCTTTTTTTTTTTTATTATATCACCCCACTTTATTTTTTTTTTCTCTACTACATTATTTAATTATCAAAAAAACAGCACACAAAACCAAGCAATAAATAGTAAAAAATAATAATGAATAATAGTCAAAATAAATATAAATATTCAATTGATAGTTGGAAAACTTTAAATGATTTTAAACTATTAAAATTAAATGAAGATCCAATCTTCAATCATTTAATGCAGTCACTATATTCAATCCAACAATTTAATAAAGATATTATAAATAATCAAAATATATTAGAGCAACAACCACAGCAGCCCAATCAATCAATACAACAACAACAGCAACAACAACAACAACAAAATGATATATCAATTTATTTACCAAAAAATTCCGAGGAATTATTACTAAACGATAAAATAAATAGCTACATTGAAGAAGTAATGAAAAGATTTATCAATAGTGGTGTAAAAAAGAATTCCTCATCCTCTTCAAAGCATACAAATAAAGTTTTTATTGATAGCAGTGACGAAAGTAGTGACGATAATTCTTCATCCAACACAAATAATCAAATTAATGACATTGAAAAAATTAAAGAGTCATTTTTAATATTAGTAGACCCACTAAAAAGAAATTATTATTGGATAAATGGTATTCATTTTGACAATAATAATAATAACAATAACAATAGTACTTCTCCTTTATCCTCTCCATCAAAATTAACAAATAGTTTGCAAGAAAATGAACAGAGTTCAGGAAATTTAAATGAAGCCAACAACATAGTGAGCATTATTGTTAGTAACCAAGATATTCAATCAATTAAATATATTGCTAATCAAACAGAGACAAATCCTTTAACATTTTATTCACTATTAAGTAGTAGCTACAACTCAAAGTCTATTGTTATCCCATATTTAAATAATTCTGGTAAGATTTCCATATTATATACCAATTTTTGTTTTATTTTAAAAATTTCTAAAATTTTTAATTTTTAATTTTTTTTTAGGCAACGTACCAAATAAATGTTCGTTACCAAATGTCGAGCAAGTTTTTAGAAATGATGAAAATCAAACAGTTAAGTTCTTATTGAATTGGGAATGTGATTCAGTGGTTAGGGAATACAGTTTGATGATGAAAAGAATTAAATTATCCAATGATGATCAAGATAAAGAAAATTTAAGTACAAATAATATTGATAATGGTAGTGGTTTTGAAGTTCTCTACCGAGGTCATAATAATTTCTATACAACCCCACCACTTCAATCTGGTGTATATTCTTTCAAAGTCAAAGCCGTAAATAGATTTGGTGCTGGTGAACCAAGTGAAGAGTTTATTATAAATGAAACCTATTTTCAAAAAACAACCTCAATTATTTCGTCATCATCCGAACTTTCAATAGAAGACTTTAACCCAACAGAAAGTATCAGCAATAATTCCGAAATTAAATTAGATAATAATGATGGCAATAATAATAATGACAGTAATAATGATAATAACGATCATAATAATGATAATAATAACGATCATAATAGTGATAATAATAACGATAACGACAGTAATAATGATAACAATAATTATGAAAATGATAAAATTAATATTGGTACTGATAATGACAGTAATGATGATAATAGCATAAACATTACTAATAATATTAATAATAAAACAAACTCAAAAGATAAGAAACGTAAAAAGACTCAAGCTATTAAATTCAAGAAATTAATTAGTGAAATTGATAACTATATCACACAGAATGGCAGAATATCAACTAGACTTTCTATTATCCAATGTGAAGAGATTATAAATAAATTGTCTACATTCAAAGAGAAATATACTACAAGTTGTAATAATTTTTCCGAAGAAGAGCAAACATTATTTTTATCATCAGTTATCCCATCAAACCCAATTCCCCTTTTAGAGAGATTAGAAACGATCATTGAAAGCGCAAACCAATTACTTCTATCCTACAAGATGACTAAAGAATGGAGAGAGATCTTAAAGAATGAAATTGCCGAATATTTAGCCTCACCGCCAATGGATCCCGATGCAAAATTGAAGATTAATAAATTTGTAGACTCATTATCTGATCAGCTCCCAGAAACAGTAAAAAACATGATCTATCAAATCGTAACTCAAACTGCAAAGAAGAAACTAAATGATACTAGTACTTGTGCTACCCAAAGTATTGTTAGATCAAAGGCCTCCTATTTATTAACTATTTTTTCAAATCGAAAGGATCTTTTTAATACAACCTGGTGTTCTGAAATGGAGGTTATCTCAAAGCAATTATTAGAGAATTCTATGAAAAAGAAGAAATCAAACTCCCCACAATCACCCCAACAACCCAGCACTATTTTATTACCACAAACGACTCAGCCATCCTCACCAAGAAAATCAAAACAACTTACAAAAAACACTATTGCAATACCACAATCACCACAAACAACAAAATTACAAATTAATACTACTCCAACAAAATCATTCGAAAATAATGAGCAACCATTACAAGAAAATTACAACCAAGGTGCATCAAATGAAAATATGAATATTAACTTTAATAATATTAGTATTAATAATATAAATAATATGGCTAATTATAATATAAAAAATAACTGTAATGATAATTATAATAGTAATCATAGTAAAAATGATAACAATAATAATAATAACAATAACTATTATAATAACAACAGTTTTTATACAAACAATATTTTCATTAATAATAATAATAATAATAATAATAATAGTAATAATAATAATAATAATAATAATTATAATAATAATAATAATAATAATAATAATAATAATTTAATTAATTCTCAATTACAACCAAACCAAATGCAACCACAACACCAATTTTATCAAGAATCAGTTTTTAAACAACAAATGGATTTATTATCACTCAAGCATCAAAATTTTGTAAATTCATCGCACTATTGCTCATCATTTACCTCTTTTACCCCATCACCAAGCAACTCGATCCCAATACCACCAACACCCAGTAATCCATTGTTTTATCAATCAAATCAAATGATGGTAGAGTCTGCCCCACCATCACAATCATTTTTTATCCCCCAACCTCCATCTCAAACCATGAACCAATTCTCACCCTCATCATGGTCATCAAACTCCACAACCTCATCACCATCTAACTCCCCATCTATAATGTTAAATAGTTTATCCGATCAAATTTACACCGATTTTAGTAGAGTAGTTGGATCACAAGGTTCATTTGATAGTAATAATTTTATTGTTTCTCCTCCCTCACCAAAGAATCATAATAGCATTAATATTAACGATAATAGTAATGAAATTTATAAAAATTTAAACTCTGATAATCATTTTGGTGACCCAAATAATCAATTTCAATGGCTTACTCCAGTTTTATCAAATTTAGAAACTAAATTCAGGAATAATACTAACAGTAATAATAGTAATCACTCATCTTTATTTTTTGGTACCAAGTTTTAAATCTATATCTCTTGTAAATTAAAAATAAAATATATAAATAAAAAAAAATATTAAAAAAAAAAAAAAACTATTTGTTTAAAAAGTATTTTATATTTTATAGTTAAAAGGAATCGTAATTTTTTGGTTTCTTTTATTTAACAAAAAATTTGAATTTTTTTAAGTTTTTTGTTTTTTTTTTTTATATATATAATATTAAAAAAATATTCTAATTAAATAATTAAAATTTTATAATTTTGATGAAACTGGAATAGTTTCGCCTGCGACTGGGGATTCTGTGACCAAGATTGGTTTTGGAAGGAATGTTTTGAAAATTGATGAGTTGTGTGGGAAGTGGAGGGTGCTTAAAAATATTGATTTAATGGTGGATGAAACAATTGAGGCAGATTGAGAGGCGTCAATAGTTGAAAGAATGCCTTTATTATGATAATAACCAAGAACTGGTTTAGTATTTTTGTGGAATGATTCTAATCTCTTCTTTAAAACCTCTGCGTTGTCGTCTGATCTTTGAATTAATGGCTCGCCAGTTACATCATCAACCATTTCGGTTTTTGGTGGGAAAAATTCTCTGTGATATGATCTACCACTTGGGAGATGAACAAGTCTACCTGTGATACGTCTTACTAATAATGAATCGTCAATTGAAAAATCTAAAACATGATCAATTTTTTTATTATCTTCTGATAACATTTTATCGAGCTGTGATTAAATAAAATAAATATTAATAAATTAATAAATATATTTTAATTTATGCATATATTATACAATCTAAACATTACTTTTTCGGCTTGTGGAACTATAGTATATAATAATAATAATAATAATTAATTTATAATTTATAATTTATAATTTAATTAATTAATGAAAAAAAAAAAAAAAAAAACCGATTAATAAATTTGATCAAAAAAAAAACGATAATTAAATTAAAATTAAATATGATAATTACCAGTTCTTGGGAAACCATCGAGAATGAAACCTTTTTTACATTCTGGATTTTGAATATTTTCTTTAATCATATTAACCATAACTTCATCTGGAACAAGACCACCTTGATCCATAATAGTTTTAGCTTGTTTACCAGTTTCAGTACCTTGTTCGATTGCGGCTCTTAACATATCACCAGTGGCAAGATGACATAAACAGTAATCTTCTTTAATAATTGGAGCTTGAGTTCCTTTGCCTGAGCCTGGTGGTCCAATGAGAACAACACGAAGACCTTCATCTTTCTTCTTTTCTGCTAAAGATTTTAAGATCTTTAAAGATTTTAAATCGACAAGCTCCTATTTAGCCCTCGTTTTTTGTATATCGATATACTTCTATTTATATAAATATGATAAATTTTATTATTTTATTATTTAAATAAATGATCGAACTTGATACTCTTAACTTTCACAATGGGAATGAAAATTTTTATTTGTTGAATTTTTTTTTTTTTTTTAAAAAAATTTAAAAAAAATTTAAAAAAATTTAAAAAAATTTTAAAAAAAAAAAAAAAAAAAAAAAAAAATGAATAAAAAAAATATATTTATACATACATATTTACCTTTTTTAAAAATAGAATTGAAAAAAAAAAAAAAAAAAAAAAGAAATAGTTGATTTGATTATATTATATACAAAAAATAAAAAAAATAAAAAGTTTATTTTTATTTTTTTTTATTTTTATTTTTTTTATTTATTTTATTGATAAATATTGGTGATGATCAATTAATGATCTATTGATTGATTTCCAAAATCATCAAAAGATTGTGTTAAAAATGAATCATCAGTATAAAGTTCAGATATACCTTCAGACTCTATCATGCTGTCAAAATAATTAAATTCGGATGATTGGTCAACATACAACATATTTGGATTACGATTATCATTGTGCTGATTATTGTTATTATTGTTATTACCATTTACAATTTCAAATGGCGAGTATGATGGTAATATTGAATTTGGTTCCCAATATGACGCATTTTGGGTTGATAAAAATGTACCTTGGGCTACTTGTTTATTAGGAGAAAGAATATTACTGACATTTAAATGATTTTGATCTATATTATTAAAAGTATGTTGTGTGGGTTGTTGCTGTTGTTGAATATGCTGGTTGTTTATACTAACCAAGGCATTTGATATTGCATTGGTAGCATAGCTATATTCATCCGAAAAACTTTTACTATCGCTCGAATTCAATTGATCTTGCTGTGCGGTTGTTTGTTGTAATTGTTGGAGCTGCAAATGTTGTGGGGTTGATTGCTGTGGAGGTGTATCGGATTGTACTGGTGTTTGATTTAAAAGGAAAACATCAATAGGAGTACCAGTTTCATTGTCAAGTAAAATTTGATATCTTCTTGTTCCCGGCTCCATTCCCTCGTCTGGGTCAGGAATTTGAAACCTTGTACCAGATGGTGCTCTTACGGCAATAACAGTTTCACCTTTAAACTTCTCGATTCCTCTTAAATCATCATGTGTAACAAACATATACCTATGTAAAATAAAAAAGACGTTAATATAAATGATTTTAATTATAAAAGTATTAGTAATAATAGATCATACTTTGAAGATTTTGGTTCATATAATATATTATGAATATTCTTATTTGCTTTTTTAATTAAATTATCCAAATTTGATTCTTTTTCGATTAGTCTTTTTAATTCTTTTTTATAATTATCTGTACATTTTGGATCAATGGGTTGGGTACTTGGTGTTGTATTGACATCTACTCCTTTCCACAATACTTGGTTTTTTGAACATTTTTCAATAAGCCCCACACCTTCTAAAACACATGTAACATCATATATACGTCTTTTTGAAATTTCTAATTTCTCTGATGCTACTTTAAGATCCAAAACCCCATTTGGAGATTTTTCGATGAGATCTAAAAATTTTTTGGTTAGTTGCACTAAAGAGTTATCGAACCTATTACTTGTTTTCTCCTCTGAACCTGATAGCCTTGATCTTTTTGATTTTGTAGAACCTGATGACCGAGTCGATCCCATCTCATCATCATCATCCTCTTCCTCTGTATCTTTTTTCTTATCTTTTTTACCCTTGGGTGGTCTTTTACTTGATTTACTAGATGTAGTTGATTTTGAATTGTTATCTGTATTTATAGATGATGTTGAAGCAGACCTTCTTTTTTTATTTGACGTTGATGTTGTAGTGGTAGTTGTTGTTGTTAATGGTTGGGACTGAGTTTCATATATTTCTTGTGATTGTGATTGTGATTGTGATTGTATAGGAGTTGATGATTGTGATTGTGATTGTGATTGAGACTGTGTTTGTGGTGGTGATACAGAAGATGAAGAAGATAAAAATGAATGTGAGGGTGATTCTTGTGATTTGTTATTGTTATTATTATTATTATTGTCATTATTATTTGGTTTACCTGAATTTCTTATACTTTGAAGTGAATTTTGAATTTTTTTATCGGTAGCACTTAGTGAATGTTTATTTATTATAATTGGTTGTAAAGAGGCCATCGATCCATTTTTTAATAATGGATCTACTCAACTTCTATTGTTCCGCGTACTTGTTATATCTGAACCCATTGAAAAATTTATACCATATTCATTACCATTTGTGTTCGTACTTGCAGCCTCGTCTGCTAAGGATATATTTATGTTGTTGTCATTATCCGTTGCTATCCCATTATTATTTGTATTATTCTTTTTTGTTCTCGATTTAGGAGCATTGGCTGAAGCTATCATTGTGTCAATATTTGTTGTAACATTGCCATTACGTGTTCTTGATCTAGTTGGTAATTGATTTTGCATTTCTTTTTCTGAAGACTTTCTATCAGGTGTTAATGGTTGATGATTTAAAGTTTCTTTTATTGGTGATGCTATTGTAGTGGTTTCTGAGATGTTCATATCCTTTTTTTTTTTCTTTTTTTTTTAATTGTTTTTTATCTTTTTATCTTTTTTTTTTTTTTTCATTAAATGAAAAAATTTTAAAAAAAAAAAAATTTTGAAAAAAAAAAAATGTATATATTAATTATTTGTGATTAAATTATGATAAAACATATAAATAATTGATAGTTTTGTGAAATGGAGGATTGTGTTATTAGGTGAATGAGTGTTATTAATATTTATGAAAATGTAGAGTTTTTTTGAAATAATAATAACAATACAATATAAATTATATAGTACTAGTAGTATATAATAATTAGGAAATTCTTGGTGATGTGAGTCGAAAAAAAAAAAATAAAAGCTTTTTTTACTTTTTTTTTTTAGCAAAATGTTTTTTTTATGAAAAAATATCTTGGTATATAGGGTTTTTATTATAATAAGTTTAATGTGATTTTTTGTGTATATGTTTCCTTTCTATTAATATATAAATGATGATTATTGTTATGTAATAACGCTATTATTGACAACTGTTACTACTAGTACCCTCTATTTTATGTGTTATCTAAATGAATTTATTATATCAATTGGAACGAAAAAATTAAAAAAATTTTAAAAAAAAAAAAAATTTTAAATTTAAAAAAATAATTAAATTTTTTTTTTGTAATAAATAATTTTTTGTTTTTTGTATTTAAATTAAAAAAAAAAAAAAAAAAATTAAATAAAAATAATATATATACACCATTAAAATTAAATAAA